TCCTCGAAACGGGGCCTTCTGCTCGGTTCCATGCACATCGTTTTCTAAACGTTACATCGCACAGCGCATGCAAGCAGAGCGCATGAGCTTGCCGCTTCTCCAAAAATACATGCAAACGAAGCGGCGCCGAACTGCCAGCTCTCAGCCTCTCACAGGATCTTGAGCCCATGGTGAGCGGCTTCTGCTTGCAAAGCTGTCTCAGTACTGAATACAGCACGCTTGAGGTGCGTGTGTCCGTTTGTTGAGTAAGCCTCTCCAAGAACAGGCGCCCTGGGTGTCCGAGAGTCGTTTGCATTGGACGAAAGTGTCGCAGTCTGGCCTTCGGACAAAACATTGCCGCCAGCCAGCCTACAAGGCAGTACCCTTGGGAATTCAAGGCATCCAGCTTGAAGCAAGCTGGACGTAGTCCAGGTCAACCAAGGGGCTTACAGCTGGTCACTTCGACTTTCCGGAAGCCGAAGGCATCTTCTCACCAAGTTGCTGGGCGTTGCACACTTTTTCTGAAGACCAGCTTTTGTGTTAGACCAAGGCAACGACTTGATGAACATGCCAACCCAAAAAAATGCATCCGGGATGTCTGAAGTATTCACCAGAACCAACCGTCTCGTCGATTTTGGTTTGGGCGACCCATGAACCGCAGGCTTCAACCTGCAGTTCATGGAGCGGTTCCTCGTCTTTCACGCGGAGGCATACGGTTCTGCTGCTTGGGTCAACTTGATTTTCTTGCTGAAATGGGTGCGTATTTTTTTTTGAGGGCACCTCTCTGGTGGTCGTAAATGACACCAAAAGGGAAACCACCCTTTCCAAGTAGCCCCTGCTTTTTGACTTGTGTGGAGAAGAAACACAAACACACTGTTCTGTTGACTACCGTCCTTTGAGAGAAAAAAAAGGCCCCCGTTCATGCTCATCGTTGTTGGAAAGAGGATAGGGATAGCTTTTTGGTTTTCTGGTTTTAGTATTTTACTACTTGTTCCCCAACTGCTGAAAGCTATGGGGCTCTGTTCAGCGTGGCTCCGAGCGACTTAGGGTTCCGGAAGTTTGGGATGTCACCGGGCTTATTTTGTGGTAGCCACCTCAGTGGTCTTGGGTTTGTCGATTCTGTTTGAGGAGGGAGGGGGCTTGTCGCTCCTTAGGTACTTGGACGTTCTGGGTCATGACATGTTACGTGGGGTGGTCACCTGTTCTTCCATATTCTGTATGGCAGGGGGGAAGAGAAACCGCCTCAAGTGTTCCCTTTTTGTGGGAAGAGGTCTTCTGGATGTGTTTCTTGCTGTTTGGGATGGTGCCAAAAGGACATCACATGGAACCCCAACCCATATTAAGACCATGGAACTTGACTTGCGATGTATGAGTCGTGCATCACTCAGACTATTCACAGCAAAGCAAAAAGCTGCTTTGCGGGCTTGTCCAGGGGGGTCTTTTTGCTACCTGTTGTGAGAAAATTGCCGACCCCCTCAAAATGGAATCCTTCACTACGAGGGGGGTCGATCAATTGTCCACAAAGGGTGGCAACAAGACCCGCCCTGGCAAGCGGCTTGTCGGTCCAAGCTGGGTTGAGTTGTTTATACGGCAGATTCTGTGCAGGTCCACGGCTTTGGGCCAGGTTCGTCTTTTGTTCGTGGCACGTACCGTTTTGCGGGTTGTTCCCAAGGAAAGAGCAAACAAAGCAGAGTCACAGCAATCGAAGTGATCAATCACACGGGCCTTGAAAAAAGATTAGACTAGACCAAACCCGGAGCTGTGTTTGGGGTGGCGAAGGGTAGGACAGACCAAACCCGTGTGCTTGGGACGAGGGGTAGGGATGAGGTCCGAGAGCAAAACTCTCACTCGGCCATACCAATCTTTCGGCTCGCAAGCCATAGCCTGAAAGTCGGGCGGGCCTGGAAGCCGACGCCGACTTTGGCTGAGGACCTCTTCGCGGGTGTTTTGAGCACCGAAAGAAAGCCGTCCATTTGGTGTTCCGAATGAAGGGAATGAATCCCCCAACACCGGTTCATGCCCAACGGAAGGTCATTCCTTACTGAACACCAGCACCCTATGCTTCCTCGACTATTTTTAAAATAGGGGTTGTTCAACCCCTTTTTTTGCATTGACAACCCCTATTTTTTGACATTGGCCTTTGGGGTCCATTTTGGGTTGTTACTTTGTTTTTATCGAAATTACGCCTGCTATTGCAACCTCTTAAGAAGCCTTGGGAGCCAGTAGATTACTATTTATTGATAGGGTCCTCGGCGCCCTTTCGTGTTTGCACAATGCACCTGCTGAAAGTCTTGCGTAGACGGAGCCTTCATTCTACTAGTGGTTGCCCTAAGTCGTGGCGGCGACCAAAAGTCGTGGCGGGCTGCGTGCCGCCAATGTATTGCATCTTTTTGCGCAGTCAGGTTTGGTCTAATATTTTCATCATAGTGTGATTTCACTGCGTTGGGTTGCTGGGTTGTTGCTTGGGCTGTTGGTTGTTGGGTTTCTGGGCTGTGGGCTGTTGGGTTGTTGGGCTGTGGGCTTGTTGGCTTGTTGGGCTGTTGGTTGTTGGGGCTGTTGGGTTGCTGGGCTGTTGGGCTGTTGGGGCTGTTAGGCTGTTGGGCTTGTTGGGCTGTGCCCGCATGCTTTTTGAGTGTCGAGGCCTGTTATGATCATTTTGTTGGTGTGCCCTTGTGTTTGCGCTCAATGCTTGTCGTGTGTTTGTTTTGGGGACGTTGTCCTGAGCAGGCGTCCCCATGCAGTTTTGTTGCGAAGCACATGATGCAGTAGAGGAATGTTCTGAGCATGTGGTTGCTGTCCCGTTGTGTTTCCGCCCAACTGGCGCTGCCTTTGCTTTGGGGAAGTCGTCCTGATCGGGTGCCCCCATGCAGTTTTGTTACCCAACGCGTGCTCCTGCACTTGCGGGTAGAGGCATGTTCTGACCACTTGGTTGGTTTTGCTTGCTCTTGCTTGCTTGCTTGCTTGCTTGCTTGCTTTTGCTTGCTCGCGCTTGCTTTTGCTTGCTTGTGCTTGCTCGTGCTTGCTTCTGCTTGCTTGTGCTTGCTTGTGCTTGCTCGTGCTTGCTCGTGCTTGCTTGCTTGCTTGCTTGCTTGTGGTTGCTTTGCTTTCTTTTGCTTGCTCTTGCTTGCTTGCTTGCTTGCTTGCTTGCTTGCTTGCTTGCTTGCTTGCTTGCTTGCTTGCTTGCTTGCTTGCTTGCTTGCTTGCTTGCTTGCTTGTTTTCGGTTCATGTGGACCATTGGCTTGTCCGGCCAACTATGGACCTCGCCTGGGCCTCGCCTGGACCTCGCCTGGAAGCCATGTTCAAGATAGATTTTCAACAATCTTTTTGATGACTGGAGCTAGGGTGTCTTTTCATTAGTAGAGAAGCATAAGTGACACATCTTTAAGGGTTTGTTCCAAGGGTCTGGTGGCATAAGAAACTGCATTTTGAACCATCAAACGTATGGTTTTAAAGGTTTCAGACACTCCAATGTTGCACTTTGGCCATGCGGATTTGCACCATGTGCTCTGACTTTTGGCATGCGAAATCTGCATTGTGAACCATCAAGCGTATGGTTTTGAAGGCTTCAGACATTCCATTGTTGCACTTTGACATGCGACGTGCCATGCGGATTTGCGCCACGTGCTCTGACTTTTGGCACGCAGAAACTGCATTTTGAACTATCACACGCATGGTTTTGAAGGCTTCAGACATTCCAATGTTGCACTTTGACACGCGATGCGCCATGCGGATTTGCACCACGTGCTCTGACTTTCGGCATGCAGAAACTGCATTTTGAACTATCACACGCATGGTTTTGAAGACTTCAAACATTCCAATGTTGCACTTTGACATGCGATGCGCCATGCGGATTTGCACCACGTGCTCTGAGGAAAATTCTAGAATTTGCTACTTGGCGCCCGCCCTAAGTCAGAGCAGGCAACCGGAAGTCACTGCAGGCACCCCAACCGCGCGCGGGGCACGCATAAAGCCGAAAGTCACGGCAGGGCGCCGAAAGTCAGAGCACGTGGTGCAAATCCGCATGGCGCATCGCATGTCAAAGTGCAACATTGGAATGTCTGAAGCCTTCAAACCCATGCGTGCGATAGTTCAAAATGCAGTTTCTGCATGCCGAAAGTCTGCAATTCGCGCAGGTGGCACGAACAGCAAGCAATTGTGTGCTTGTTTTTTCCGCTCCAATTTTGACACAGCTCCGAAAACGACGTGAGCGTAGACAAGCCGTAGACAAAGCGTAAACAAAAACCGTAGAAACACAATTTTTTGGCGTAGAACCACTCTTTTTTGGCGTAGACCAACTATTTTTTGGCGTAGAAACACTATTTTTTGGCGTAGAACGGACAAATTTTGCAGGGGACCCAGAAGATCAACATTCTCATCCTGGAATGGTTGCTGTGATGGGTAAAGATTTCTGCTGTCCCGTTTTGCTAAGAAGGTGGGGCAAAATAAGGACATAAACGGTCAGAAGAGGATTCACCCTCAAGCGCTACATGGCCATGTTAAGAAACCAAGCAACATAGAAGCCAACATTAGCCTTGAAGATTGTAACGCATATTGCTGCATATGAAAATACATATTCGGTTTTGGGATCCTATGAGGCGGCCTTGACGTCAAGTCTTTCCTAGTCCCTGTTCCAGTCCAAATCAGAGGCTGCCGTTCGTCATCAAAAATAGTCTTTATCAAAAAACCGGGGTTGTCACAACGACTATTTTTTTAATAGGCTTTGGAAGCATAGGGAGCAAGACAACCCTTCTCTGGCTTGGTGGCAGGTTTCGTTTCGAAACTCACCCCGCGAAGCAGGACTTATGCTTGCTCGGCGGGGGGAACGCGCTGAGCAACCGTGATACTTCGAGGTTCAACCCCCGTCAGGTAAGTAGGCTGGAGCCGATTCCATGGGCGGGACTACTAGCCGCTTCCCTGGGATCCCTACGTAGACCCTGAACTATGACGGCCTTTGACCACTTTGACCCCAAACAGAAACGGGTCTTTGGGCTCACCAAGTGCCAAGTATGCCTACCGCAGGATGTTGAGCCTTCTGCTTTTGGCGGTCGGGGCCGCAGCCCAGCCGGCGGTCGAGGCGCGAATTGCCCGTTGAATTTTTGCGTTTCGGGGGGTCTTGTCTCCTGCAAATTCCTGAGCTTGATGCGTGTTGGGAAAAACAATTTGTGGGGCACACCAAGATGATCAGATATTGTTTAAGGCCAGTCCACTCTGGAATGTGACTTCAAGCAGTTCAGAAACCCCAAGTGTCCACCCAGCATTGTTTAAGGGAGATGGGTTCAAACAGCCCTGTGCTGCCTATTAACTGGGAACTCCTTTCACTTGGCCAGACCATGATTTCCCGCAAAATCTACCGGGCCCGTGGCCGACCTGCCTCCTGAGTTTCATCTAACCTTTGAGTGGCAAGGGGGATCCTTATGCATCCCGGATAAGCAGACTTCCAGAGGTAACCAAGGGAACCCTCACACGAGGTTCCGGAGCTGCTCTAAGTTACGGGCAGTTCTCTTCGCGCAAAACCGCGCGCTAGGAGGGATCAACGTGCCATGAACATCTTCGGAGTGAGACCGGCGTCCAATCTTTGTTATACCATCTCTTCACTGTTCTTGGCATGTGTTTCAGTTTTTTTTTGGTTCTGTTCATTTTTACTGGGGGTCTGCAAAAAGCAAAGTGTTTTGCTACCATACCAAGAGTAGAAGCTTTTGCTGTTCATTTGGACCATACGAACCAGTTTAATCTTCCGGGGTTGAAACAGGGCCAAGGGCCCCTGAAAGTGCCACCCCGCCCCCCATATGCTTTGTGGGCCAGGCCCAAAAACGAACTCTGGCTAGTCTTTGGGGGGCATCCCCAAAATGGTCCTTTTGAATTCATTTTGAATGAATTGGTGGTTCATGGTTGGGTTTGGGCTTGGCTTAGGATTGGTCAGGACTATCAGCCTCCCCCCCCCCCCTGGTGGTTCGAGGGTTGTCTTAAGCTTGGTTTAGGGCGTGTTGAAGGTTGGTTTAGTTGGGGTAGGATGGGTTTAGGCTTGGTTTAGGCTTGAATTAGGTGGGTTCAGGCTTGGTTTAGAATTGGTTTAGGCTTTGTTTGGGCCTGGTTCCGGCTTGGTTGAGTAAACTAACGGTGGCTTTTCGGATCTTTTCGGCTGGGTTCAGGCTTGTGTTAAGCTTGGTTTCTGCTTGGTTCGGGCTTGGTTTAGGCTTGGTTGAGGCTTCGTTGCTGGCACCCTGAGGCCGAGTTCAGGGGTTCTGGGGGAAGGGTTCAGGGGGACCGATGCCACAATGGTATCAGGTATATCCAGACTCAGAGCCATGCCCTAGATATTGCAAGCAAGGGAGCAAGGAAACCGCATACTGTTTACAGTACCTTGCCATGGTTTTGCGGTTGTGTGGTTGGCTACTTGCAGGCCTTGCAGCCTAACAGTGACAAGGACCATCATTGATCATGACCTTTCATGGCTCTGAATCTGTATTTAGAATTTAGAGCTGCCCTCTCAGTGTGTATACCCCTAAGGGTACTTTAATTAGCCATCAAGGATCTAAGTTTCTCCTTGTAAGGTACCACGGACTTTTGGGGGTAATAATGGAGGGGATCGAGGATCAGGCTCGGGGCGACCCCTTGTTTGTGCAGTTTTAAACAAGTTCAATCCACCATTGCTTCTGATTTCCTTGTAAAGAGGACCAAAAGTTGGTTGATTCCACATGCCACGACTTTCTGCGGCCCGACGCATTTTGCTTCGTGCAGGTCCATATCGTCGCCCACACTCACGACGATGTGGGGTGGCTGAAGACGGTGGATGAGTACTATGCTGGGCAGAACAACTCCATTCAGAGCCTGGGCACAAAAGCAATGAACCGCAGGGCAACAGGAGCTTTTGACCAGGGCCCGCAAAATTGAAAAGGGGTCGACTGTGCCTTCTGATTGTTGGGGTTACAGCACTGGATTGGAAACGTCACGCCCTTTTTCACGTGCGGTCGACCCCTGACAAAGTTTCCCATGCAGTGGAGTGATGCTGAAAAGGGGAAGAAGGAGCCCTGCCTCCCTTTGACTTTTGTTGCCTTTTTCCACACAGAAGCCAACCGCCTACAAGAAGAATTGGAGGAGTGCAAACCTTTACTCTGAAAGGGGGCATTCTTCAGGACCCCCGTCTTTTCCATAATGTTGTGTTCAAGCACGATCAGTTGGACCCCACATTGGAGGGATTGAATCGGATCTCCAAAAGGGGACCCCACAAAGGCCAATGTTTGAGGTACTACGATTCTTGGGACACAACACATGTGTTTTTTAGGGGCCCCCATGAAAATGAGTGTGTTCCTTGTTGTAAAACCACCCAAAAAGGGGCTACCCCCAAAACAAGGACACGCCCATATATGCTTTTGGGGTTTGCTCGTGGGGTTCCACGTTTTCCCCAGGGCGTTTTTTTTTTTTTTGGTTTTTTTCCCCCCGGGCTCTCAGTTGGGTTCAGCTGAGGCATGCCTATGTGCATCTCATCCTGGACACCGTGGTGAGGTGCTTGGCCGAGAACCCGAACCGCACCTTCACCTACGTGGAGCAGGCGAGGAGGTTGGAGTTGGCGTCGAACACGGGGGTCGTCTTTTCTTTGGAGGACCCCCCTCCCCCTGACACTCCCCCCCCCCCCAAAAAAAAAAAGAATCCCCCCCCCAAAAAAAAGAGAGAGAGAAAAAAATGCCCCCTCCCCCAACAAAATGGCCATGACTTTTAATAGGGAACCACTTCAAGAGTGGTTGGTGGACATGAATCCCCACCTAAATGATGTTCACCAAAGGACTAAGATTCATAGCCAAATGGGTGTCGTTTTTTTCTTTAGAGGACCCCCCAAAAAAATAAGTAGCATAAACAAATGGGAGGGGTTGTCCTCCTGGCTTCCCTTGAAAACCAACCCAAAAAGGGACCCCTCCAAAGAGGACACACCCAGATGTGGATTCCGGACCCTTCTGGTTGGTATTCAAAAGGGACACCGAAAGCCAGCGGTTTGTTTGGACACCTGTGCTTTTGAGGCTTTCCTTTTTGGGGCGGGTTTGAAGGTTGGAGGGTTTCCTTTTTGGGGCGGGTTGGACGGGCAACCAGGGCAACCGACAATTTTCGTGAGGGCCATTTTCAGGTTTCGCAGGCAGCCCCTGGCTCATCCGAATCAACGAGGGCGATGGATTTACCTCGTCTTGCCCTTCAGCCGGGGTTTGCCGAGGTCTTTCCTGATTGGGTGAACTGTGGAAAATCCTGCATCACTTTGAATCCATGGGAAACCATTGTTGGTATTTACAGGGGAATCGACTCATTTCAGGGTTTCTCAGGTGGTGCAGGATTTCGTTCACCCACAGTATCAAAGCATCGGGGGACTCGAAAAGCTTCATTGGAACGTCGCAAAGGATCCCAGGAAAGCCTCCAAGAAGCACCCACAGTTGTCCTTTCAGTGGTGGAAGGGTTCCCTTAATTACCTTCACCTCCAAAATTTATATACTCTTTTTTTAGTGGGGAGTCCCTGAATTACCTTCACCTCCAAACCTACAATGTTCCTTCTAGTGTGGAGTCACTGGACCCCCCGTCCAACTCCAGAGCGGTCAACGCTGCCATGTCGGGGTGAGGGCCCGCAAGAGAGCGGCTTGACGCCCTCACCTAGTATCCAATCCAGCGGATCTGGGTGCTCCGAAAAAGGGGCAAGCCAAGATGCCAAGACATGGCTGGTTGGTGTGACCCAAAGGCCCCGTGCTTTTGGAAGCAAATGACAAAAACAACTACAAAGGGTGATGGACCTTTAAAAAGACGAAACAATATGTTTTTTGTGTCCTTGCAAGTGTGCCTTTCTTCCCCACACACTTGCATGACCACCCCACTTAGTGCTTTCCTCACTTCAGATACCTAGAAAATCGAAATGCCACGAAATAATGCCTTTTTCGAAAAATTATCCTTTGTCAATTGCCGGCCAATTTTTAGCCTTTCGGCCATTCTTCAACTGGCAGTTTAAGCAGGATTTTTGCGTGTTTTTTTTGGCGGCTTGTGTCACCCGACTTTCCGCAATTCCGGCAAACCTTCCCGCAATTCCGGCGAATCTTCCCGCAATTCCGGCGAAACTTTCCGAATAAGAAACTTGAGTCCATTCCGGCGGCTACGAGTATTACTCTCCTTGAGCCTCAGCGGTCGAATTCCGGCTGTTTTTGCTGATTCCGGCAAATTTCTGTGACTTCGGCTGAAATTTGATGCATTTCAGATTCCGGCTGAAATTTGAGCCGAAAGAGTTTCTAGGTATGCTCCCGGGATATGTGGATGCGTTGCTGACCCGGAAGTTTTGCCAGGTATCATAGATCCCGGATCCAAGTACAGCTTATTTGAGAGGGGTCAGTTAGGTGCCGAAGTACCGGATAGAACTTACATGGCTAGCGGATCCCAGTTACCAGATCCCAATTGCCACTGTTCGTAAGCAATCGTCCTTTCAGTTCTTAAAGGTTGCTTATCTTGGCTACCTATAAAACCAGGGAAATGGAATCACTGAGATGGTTTGGCTCCCCTCTGCTTGAAAGGGCGGGAACCTACGTAGGGGACTTGCAACCATGATGAGTACCCTCCCTGCCCCTTTGAGTATGAAGATTTGGAGTCAATTGGAATCGCTGGGAACGTAATCAATCAGGGATTGTTTGGTTCCCTACTTGGCCGGGGTCATTATTTTGACAATTTCCGGAGATGATCAAAATTATAGGATGGGTTGTTTCCCTTTCACCTACCACTTAGGGTGACTTTGATCATGGAGTGCTGGTTCAATTTATGGAAGTCGAAACCCGCTTTGCAGAGTATATATGTAACAACTCTATCGGTTGATTCCCCATTCTTTCCAACCATCGTTCTTTTCAAAAACCGGCCGTTTCCCTGGATTTCCGGGGGTTTTCTAGAAAGAAGGACCCCTGTAAAGAGTTAACAACGCCTAGGTCCCCCAGTAGTGCCCGTTTACCCAATCTTGGTTGGGAGGGTTCCCCTTCTAAAGTAGACGTGCTGAATAAAGAGACGGTACCCCAACCTCTATCCTCTCTACTGGAGGACCTAGACGCACAAATGGCTGTGAGTCAACCCCAATGGGATCCCATTTTGGGGGTTTTCGCTGCGCCACCCATTTTAGAACCTATAGTTTAGTGGTTGGATTGGGATGTTCACTGGGGCTACGATTTGGGTTTTGACCCATGGCCAAAAGAGTGACAATCAAAACCTGGTATTAAACTATTAAACTGGTCGACCCAGAACCATGTAAAGAATTAAGAAGGCGGCAACTATTTATGGCTGGGACTTTTTCTAACCTTCACTTACCCAGGTTTTGATTGTGACTCTTCAACCGGGCTGGAGCTCCGGAGGCCTTCTTCCAGCGTTGGTGGCGGCAGCAGGATGCTGCGCGCCAGGCGCAGGTGAAGCGCATGGTGCAGAGCGGCCAGCCGCTCGCATCAACTCGCGTAGCGCCGCGTCGCGTCGCGTCGCGTCGGGGGGTACCACACATGGCCTTGGGTTGCATAGCACCTATGGCGAGCCATTTTGAGGTGGATGAACATCCATGTGCCACCTAATTTGATGTTCACCAGGAGTACAGGGTTTTGAGCCACATGAATTTGAATAAGGAACCATTGTTAAAATTCACTCCCACATGAGTCACTATCAAAACCCGGGTAGATGAAGGTTAGTAAGGGACAATCCCAACCAGAAATAGGTGCGGCCGCCTTCTTAATCCTTCACATGGTTCTGGGTTCACCATTTGTGTACCGGGTTTTGATTGTGAGTCACATCCTGTGTGTGCATATGTGTTCTTATCTGGTGGTCTGATTAGAAACACTCGCAGATTCTTGTTCGGCGCAGGGTTTTCGGAGTTTTGTGCATAGGTGTCCTTTTTAGGTTGTTATTTTTCAGAAAAAAAGGTTACCTGGCTTAGTCATTTACCAGGGCAGGGGAACTCATCTATTTTATGCCTGTGCTCGAATCTGTTTCCCAGATCTGGGGTTTATTCCTAGTTGCTGCCGCTCCAGCGTCGCTTATCGCGAGATGGATCAATGAGCTGTGGGCAATCCTGAAGCAGGTTTTCTCCAAGAAACACAACCAATTTTGAAGCAAGCCCCTCCAGGTCATCCGGTGGCTGATTCATCAGCATCAGCATTTAGACTTGTCATTCACTTCTCCTGGCTTGAACTTGTTGCGGTTCTTGGGACGGATGGGCTCTCTTTTCCTGTTCGGGTTGCTTCTACGCAAGGTGAAGCTTGGAATGACACTGCAACGCACTCCTCGTATGCCATTTCTCAGCCGACGGTTGCTTCGGGCATTTGCCTTATTCGTCGGTTCTTCCGGTCTGTTTTTGTTTTTCCCCCGAAAGCATGGCGAAGGGTTCTTCCGCTGGGTTCACTTGAGTTGTTCTCATGAGAGTCATTACAAGGTGTCAATGCGAGGAATCATCATCATGAAAGTCAATGCAAGGAGTCATTGCAAGGAGTCATTGCAAGGAGTCATTGCAAGGAGTCATTGCAAGGAGTCATTGCAAGGAGTCATTGCAAGGAGTCATTGCAAGGAGTCATTGCAAGGAGGAGTCATTGCAAGGAGTCATTGCAAGGAGTCATTGCAAGGAGTCATTGCAAGGAGTCATTGCAAGGAGTCATTGCAAGGAGTCATTGCAAGGAGTCATTGCAAGGAGTCATTGCAAGGAGTCATGAGAGTCATTGCGAGCTGCGCATGGAGTCAAGTGCAAGTTGCAAGTGCAAGGAGTCAAGTGCAAGTTGCAAGTGCAAGGGTGCAAGTTGCAAAGCAAGGAGTGCAAGTGCAAGGAGTCAAGTGCAATTGACTTGCAAGGAGTTAAAATCTCTGCTTAGGGCGGCGGGGTAGTGCCGACGACACTACACGAAAATCGACCCTCTGCGGGGATCGGCGTGGTCGAGGTGCAAAAACCCATGGTTTTTTTTTGCGATTTCTAAAGTTCCCGCGCGACCCTCTGCGGGGATCGGCATGGTCGAGGTGCAAAAACCAATGGTTTTTTGCGATTTCTAAAGTTCCCGCGCGTCCCTCTGCAGGGATCGGCGTGGTCGAGGTGCAAAAACCAATGTTTTTTTTTGCGATTTCTAAAGTTCCCGCGCGACCCTCTGCGGGGATCGGCGTGGTCGAGGTGCAAAAACCCATGGTTTTTTGCGATTTCTAAAGTTCCCGCGCGACCCTCTGATGGGATCGGCGTGGTCGAGGTGCAAAAACTCGAGTTGTTTTTGCGATTCCTGCGGTGCTCGCGCAACCCTCTGCGGGGATGGGCGTGGTCGAGGTGCAAAAACTCGAGGTTTTTTGCGATTTTTGCGGTGCTCGCGCAACCCTCTGCGGGAATCGAGGTGCATTTTTTTGCGACGTTTGCTCGAACTGGTCCTCGGGAGTTGCCTCGGTTCTCGCGCCTGCTCCCGGAACCGGCGGGTCGCGGGTTCGATTCCTCCCTGGTCCGCGGGCGGGCGTCGCAAGATGCAACTTGCATTTTAAAGCAACTTGCGCAGAGCAACTTGCGCTGAGCAAGTTGCACAGAGCAACTTGCGCAGACCAACTTGCGCCGACCAGTTTGCGCAGAGCACCTTGCCTGGTGTTGTCTCGCGCTTGCTTCACAAATGCTTCGTGGAGGGAAAAAGAACGCATCCTGCAGCGTTGGGCCGACCTCGCTTGCGATGTTATGCTTTCGGGCCAACCGTGGTCTAGTTTGTTTTTTTCTTCCCCGGTTTTGGAGCTGAGTATTGGCGAGGTCAGAGGTTTGAACCTCTCGCCGCTTCGACTCGAGTGTGTCCCCCACAAAGTGGGCTGACTCTTGCGGTCACAGCGCAGACTGTGCGCAAGGCTGAGAACGCCATCCGAGCGTTCACATCCGCCAGGCTGATTCGGGTTGCCAACCGATGGACCATGCGTGCCGCACTGCGCTCGCGCCGTGCGCGCGCCCGCAAGGATGTGACAGTGAAGCAAGCGCCCCTTTGGTGGTTCATACCAATCTTGAAATCACCCTTGCGCAACAAGGTCGGCTAAAACAGAACTACCCAAACCCGACGTAGCCGTGCTTTAAGCGGAACTCACAGCAACCTTTGGAAGCGGCTCCACCCAAGGGCATTTCCCATCCCCCCACCCCTTCAAGATGGACTTTAGGTTGCAAAGGCGCTCCTTTTGAGGAACTTTGGACAGGCATTTGGGTGTGATTGCCTTTGCTGGCATAGCCACCCCCCACACCACGGACCCTTTAGGGCTCCATAAAACTCACTGATGTCGGCGTAGCATGAGTCATAAAAAAAAGGAGAAAAATGAGAAAAAAAAAAACACAAAGAGGAGACTTCATCCAAGGAACAGCCGCATTTCCCCAGGGATTTGGACCATAGGCACTTGGGTCATGGGGGTTTCTTCGCCTGGGCCAAGCTTGGCAAAAGGAGTTCTACCCTTTGGAGACCATTAAATGGGTGCGTCTTGATTTTGGGGACCCCCAAAACCTCCGAGGGTTTCCGAGAGACTGGCGAGGCTGGAGTTTACCAACGGCGGCTGGTGCATGCATGACGAGGCGGCGCCTCACTACATCGCCGCTCACTCAGCCCACGTCCAGAGGTGAAAAAAAACGTTGAAGTTGTGATCCGAACGCGCGGTGCTTGGAACGGAAAACACCGCACACTTGGTTTTCGCTGCCCGAGGACAGAATAGGCATGGGATCTGCGAGCTTTGCGGAGGTGACAAACACACACAAACACCAAAAGCAGCTTGACCCCCCTGCAGAAACCGAGGGTTGGTCGGATTTTAAACACTACCAGTAGCTTGCGAGACTTTAGAGGAAATGTGTGTTTTCCGCTAGCCAACATGTTTTTTTTTGCACAGGGGGCAATAGACGTGTGGGCACCTGACAACACCATTGGCAAATGGTGAATGAACCCAGTGCCAGGGACCAGCCTATAGGCTCAAGCCGTCAGGTGTCAACGGCTTTAACGTCATTCAACGTCCATAAGGGACTTGTTAAGGTGGGCCCAAGGACGAAATCCTTTCTGGGGAGTGTTTTGGACCGAAAGCGACATCTTGTTTTGTTTGACCCCCCCTTCCAAATTTGTTTTGTGTTTAATCGTTTCAGTCCAAAGTGTATTACAACTTCTCATGTCCCAACATAGGTGGTACATGTAACAGAGTGTCCACAGATTGAAATTCCTGGTGGCGGCTGCCCTAACATAGGTGGTAACAGAGTGTACAACTAGGTCCCCCAGTAGTGCCCATTCACCGTTTCTTTTTTGGGGGAGGGTTCCCTACTAAAATAAGCGTCCTGAAAAAAAAGACGGTACCCGTATTCTAACCTCTCAAATCTGGAGACCTAGACAACCCTTCGGTTCTCTCAGGACATGATCGACCAAACCACCTTGGGGCACAAGTTCCTCATGGAGGAGTTCGGGGTAAGCCCCAGGCGCGATGGGAATTTGATCGGAATAAGGTCCGGGGCCACACCTGACCCAGACCCCTCCATTAGACACCCCCCAGGTGTTTGGGGTCTCAAAACCTGGTTGTTTGAGGGCCCTAAATCCATCGGGAGCCTTTGGGCCGGGGAGATGACACGTGCACTTCCACTCTTTCCCTTGTAGTTCCCCCTTGCAGTTTGCAGTTTGTGTTTCCTTTTCTTGTTTTCTTGCACCTTCCTTTCTCTGTTCCTTGCTTGCATGTTTTCTTTGGCCCCAGAAACACGGGACACGTCTCAAGTAGGCACCTGGGGTGAGCAGTTGAGAGCTCTAGGGTTTGGGGTTCCTTGAGAAGCGTTAGGGAACTCCCCCCCCCCCCCCCCAGGTCCCCTTTGGGGACTCAAAATAATTCAACGCCCTGAAACAGTCATATTGAACAGGATCCGGAGATTTCGTGGGCAGCCCCGTTTGCTCAACTGTTTGAGTTTGGCAAGTAATTTGTCTGGAATTTGACGGTTTGGTGACCACTTGTAAGATTAATTTTCTAGATAGAATAACTTTAGCTTCTGAGCTGGGAAGGACTTTGATAAGCCACCCTTTGAAAGTAAAGTCATTCGTATGATTTGTTTGGTTGCATGAATTAGGAATCAACTTTCTACAGTAGACGCCTCGCTTACAACAGCAGGTCCAACATTGGTTGGTTGCTGCTTGTATACAGAGCATGTATGAACAAATGCACCATGTTCGACCTTTTGGGCTGGTTTTCCATACGGCTCACTCGGCGCCCATGCACAAGCCTGGTGTTTGGTCAAAACCAGGTTTTGCGTGAATCTCAAAAACAACCCATGTTTCTCATGGTCGTGAGGGCCACAGGTCGCCATTAAGATGGATATGGGTTCATGCGAACCTTTGAAAGTCAGCACAGACACTCCACCGTCTGTGTGTGTGTGTGTGTCCGCGGGTGCTAGGACTGACATTTGGGTATGTGTCAAAATAGGGGAGCCCAGAGGTGTGCCTTTTGTCAGGGGAGCCCCACAAATAGTTGATGTCCTTTGCGTTTGCCTTTAAAACCACCCAAGCGGCTTCTCTTTGAACCTGCAAAGAATACCCGTGCAAAAACCACGCGCCCGGTTCCTGGCGAAATCTCCTGTCTGTAAGCTTGGGGGCTTCCAGCTTGTGAAACGTAGTTGGCCTATTTTTTTGGTTGGACCCAAGGTTCTCAGAACTCCGAGCTCTTCGAAGCCTAGGGCTGAAACAAAGTCAGGGACGGGCCGCGAAGACCACTTTGGCGGTGGGTCATTTCATGGGTATGGTGGGGAGAACAAAAAGCCATTGCGCCCTTCACCACTTCACACGCCGGAGGCGGCTTGGCGGTTGCTCGTGTTCGCAGCCGTACTTTGAATACGATGTGCTGTCCATGCTTTGCCAAGTGTTTTGATCCCGCTCGAGATCATTTCACCCTGCGCAACTAGGTAGGTTCTCGCATGGGCCGCATGGGGTTTTCCGTGGGTTTGATCTTGTACCCAGTGCATCCCTGATCCCAACACAGTCCCTGTCACAGGGATAACCAGCAATTGTCCTTTGCGATTTTGAAGGATGGTTCGCTTAGATACCTAAGGAAATCGAAAACCGTTCGTGTGTGTGTGTTTGTGTGTGTTTTTTTTCCCGACGGTTGGCCCTTTTGCGTGACCATTTTCACTTGACACGTGAAGATGTGTCCGGCTCGGAAAGAAGGGGAGCCTCCCTGTAAAAACTACAAGAACCAGCGCTGGGGTTGTTTTCAGTATAAAAGAAAGCTGTCCATTTTCGAGGTTCCCCCAATTTGACACCTTTTTGCCAGTGGCAATCCCAGGATCGATGGGGTCGGTCGGTTTTTTTCTCGAGGACGGGGTGGCAGCTGGACCCTTTCGGGCACTCCTCCACCCAGGCGGCCTTGCTCTCCGCAGAGGCGCGCGGATCCTGGGTGCTCGGGTTGGCAAGCGGCCGATTTGGAGACTCGCGGCATTTCTTCTAGGTCCCCCAGTAGTGCCCTTTTACCGATTCTTTTTTGGGTGAGGGTTCCCCAAAAATAGACTAAAGAAACCAAGGGTACCCTTATTCTAACCGCTCCACTGGAGGACCTGGTCTTGGATGGGTGTGGCTTCTTTTTGTTTCGAGGGTAGTATTTTTGGGTTGTTTCAATTGGAAACCCATGGGAAACCACTTCTTTTGGGACTCAGATGTGGCCTGTGCAGGATAGACTTGGGCAGACACCAATGCGAGCTCACCTGGAAGTAAGGCAACCTCTGCTCCAAAGCGATTTGTATATTTTACGGCAGACCCAATATAAAACAAAATAGTTTGGAGTACCCAATATTTGGATTTGCCTCAAAATGGCCCCCTTAATCCCCAGCATACCCCCCAAATCAGACGAGTTTGCTTCAACAGTATCCAAACCCCCACCCCGTGTCCTCCACTTATTCTTGGAAAACCAGAACCGGGGGGGGGGCTGCGGAGGTTGTTTGGGGATCCAATTCTTACCCCAGGTTTTTCAATTGTAACATTGCAGTTGTTTTTGCAGCCAAGATAACGAGTCAAGGAGCATAGTCAATCGGGCATCACAAGTTCGTTTTCGTTGAAGTTGTTTCATGGAACTGTCGGTGCTACCTCACATGATTGTTTCCAAGTTAGGGGGGTGAACACGTTTCCGCCACTGTTGCTTAGGAATCTTCTGAGTTTCTGTCAATGGTCCACAGCCTGGTTGAAACAAATTGTGCAACCTTAGCGTTGCCGTCTCCATGGTAACCAAGGGAAGAATCAGCCTTTAAACAAAAGGATAAACAGCTGAACACCAAAATTATACTTCCTGGACCTTCAACAGTCATGGAATGCCTGGCCTCCCTTTGGTCGGCTGGCCACGCGCCCCTTCCAAGCCACAAGAGAAACGATTCGCTGACTTTTTGTGTTTTGCGGGTGTTGCGGCGGGCGCGCTGCGCTTTTTGTGTGGGGCGTTTTGCGGGGAAATGTGGGCGGACCAAAAATACGACCCCACGACCCCCAATGCGGCAATTTGCTTTCCAGCGGGCCAGTGCGACATCCCCCTGCATGCATGCTTACATGTCTTGTTTGTCATAGAATTTGAGATCTAGCATAGCATAGGCTGCTGCCTGTCAGGATGTTTGTACCATGCCATCCTGCGCCTTTGGAAGGTTGCTTTGTGCTTCATGACTCCAAAACCGCCATCTCAAAGAAATCTGGGCTCTGGGCATTCTGGTAGTTTTAGGCGTTTGCACAGGAAATACGGCAGATTTATGGAAAAGCCAGGGTAAATGCCGCAAGCTACCAAAAAGTCCAATCGTATCTAAGGGTTGTCAGGGGGCCGCATGTGGCTCTGTCGGTTCGGAGGGCACCCTGGTTTGAACTGAACTCAACAGTAAAACCACCACTTGATTTGGGGATCCCCTCCCCAAAAAACAACACAGGCCCATGTGGCAAAACGCCTGGTGGGCTCTGCAACTCCAGGGTGATTCCTGGTTTACCTCGTTCAAGGACCTACCAGGGAAGCCCATCCTTTTTTTTCTAAAGGCACGCCTCGTTCCAAAGTTGCGTAGCTTTTGTCTTGGAGGTGGGGTTCCAGGGGCTCTTCTTCGGGCGCATCGACTACCAGGACGAGTTGTTCGATCGAGGTCTCGGACCCCAAAGAACACGACAGTTTTCGGAGCCACGTGGTGTGGCGCCCTCGTCAAGCGTTGGACCTCTTGTGGGCATATTGTCTCATTTGGAGGAAACACCTAGAGCCCCAAGCACCCGGTTCGAAGGATGTGGCCAAATCTGAAGCTGGTTCAGTTGCTATTTGGTCGGTGTGTCTTTATTCGCACCCTTTTCAGGTTGGTGTCAAGTGGAGACAAGTAGGAAAGCTAGTCATTATGATTTGTTTCCCAGAGGGTCCAAGTAGTTTTTGTGAGGATGGCTTTTGGGGGTACACAAAGGGGTCTAAGTACCTCCTTAGGTACTTGGACCTGGGTTTGGGGGGTGGGTCCTAATTTTTGACACACACACTATGTCATGCCCCGTCCTACGCTCCGATCTCACTGGGCTACATCTAGGGAGATGGGTGTGGTTCCTCGTTGGGAGTTGGTGCCCTTGGGTTTTCAAGGGACGCCGACCGGGTCCGATTCCGAAGCAACGAGATGGGGGCCCACCTTGGTCAGGGGGTTATGGCTACATGGTGCCAGGCTGTGGTGCGTCCAGTCGGCATGTCCTCTTGTTTTTGTTTGAGAAGTTGCGCTTTGCTTTCCGTGGTTTGGCGAATGGCTCAAGCTTTTTTTGTTGGAACATGGCTTTTCCATTCAAGGTCTAAGGACCTTTTTGGAAGGCGCGGAGGTGTTTGTTCCCTTCCTTTTTTTCCCCCGAAAGGGCTATAAGCACCTTGTTCTCCGATTTTTGCCGTTCAGCTGGAGGGGGCGGTTTGTTACCCCTAAAGGTCTAGAAGGACCTTTTTGCTGGTTCAGACTCCTGGAACCTGGGGTTTTCGTGCAGTTCTTTCCGCTTGGAATGGCTCACTTCCTGAGTTCATGAACTTTAAACTTTTTGGGAAGACCGTTTTAGTGGTAAATATAAAGTTTGGACTTTTTTTGGGCCATCCACTCAGCCAGTGAGATGGGGAGGACCTGGACTTGCGGCGGAAGACCAAGTCCGCGGAGTTCGTGTGGCGGGCGTCCAAGTCCCTGGGGCCCCAGGCCCAAGTCTTCTCCGGGCTCACAGGCGCCGAGCTGGGTTCGTGGCGGGGCGGTTGCGGGTGGGGGTGGGGGAAAGGCCATGGAATGCGGCGGTTTGAAGGGGAGGAGTTGAGTGAGGCTTCTCCAACAGGGGCCGTGGAAAGCCAGGGTTGCGGCAGAAAAAAAGGACGAGTTGAGTGAAGCGATGATGGGGGGAGACCTTGGGAAAAGCGGCTCCATGGTTCGCATAAGCCTGCGAGTTGTCTGCAAGGGAGTGCCAGCAGCTTGCGGACCTGGGTTTTTCAGCACGGGTGGGAGGGCAATGCGGGCAGGGGAGTACAACGGCAACTACGGGCCGCCCACGGGCTTCGACTGGGACGTCTTTAACTCGGACGAGACCATCCAGGATGACCCCAGTCTCCAGGCGGAAGTGGGAGGGGGAGGATGGGGGCGTGGGGGATATGGTTGGGGGTTGCGGGGGGGGGGGGTGGTTTTCTTGCTGGTTTCAGAGACGCAGGCAATGAGAAATGGAATGACCCCTAGAAAAACCATCCGAAGAGACGAACATCTTATTTGTGGTGTACACTGAATTCAGGCCAAGTTGTCAGCACTGGTTGCGCTTTTCTGCCGAAATGGTGGTAGCCGATCATGGGCACTTATTCCGGGTAACTCCGACAATTTTCTGAACCCCAGAGTCACATTTCGAGAAGGATCGCTTCCCTTTGCCGGGCGCTTTGGAACCGTGTTCCCGAACAGGGACTGTTCCTGTTGCAGAACTTGCTTTGGAACCATGTATGGCAAGGCCCCCTAAATGTGATTCTGGTTTCCTCTCCTCTTGTTGGAACGTATTGCATGTGCGTTTGGTTTGTTGCTCCAGTTTGTCGCAAAGCATCAAAAGGCAAATGTTCTGTCTGCAAACAGTGGTGCTGATTGCTCTTGGAGGCCGTCCAATACCAAACGTAAGCCCCCCCTTTGACCGGCAAAGCCGTCGACGACCGTGTGTGAAGTGTTAGTTTGCCGGGATTTGCTCAGCTTTGCTGAAGCATGACTAGGTGATGCTTTCTGGATAGGCCCTCCACATGGTCCAGTGGATGTCTCCAAAACACATCGCTTCCTCAAGCGGCTGGAGGGGTGTAAACCGCGGAGGTTCCTCTGAGGGTGGCTCTTCGGGTCAACAGCCGATGGACAGTCCCAGCCACAAACCGGTGTGGATGTCCTCCTTGTTGATTTTAAAACGTTTTGGGTAGACCATCTTTTACCCGGTTGGCTCGTGACTCAAGGGTTATCATGGTTGTTGTTGGGAAGCATTTTACATTTTTGCTTATTGTGGTTTAGTGAGAAATCCCCACTTAACTGCCAAAATTTAAGTTTTTGTTCCCCTTTCAACCAAGGTATAGGAGGTATAGGACGTATAGGAGGTATAGGAGGTATAGGAGGTATAGGAGGTATAGGAGGTATAGGAGGTATAGGAGGTATAGGAGGTATAGGAGGTATAGGAGGTATAGGAGGTATAGGAAAAGTTTCGGCGATCCCCCCCCCAAAACACCGGCGGCGCCAGGACTACAACGTGAAGAGCCGGGTGGATGACTTCGTGCAAGCCGCCATGACGGAGGCGAACATGACCAGGGGCAAGAACATCATGATGACCATGGGTTCCGACTTCCAGTTCGAGGAACCCGACGAGTGAGGTGCTGAGAAGGGGGGGCTGAAAATCCCAGAGACGATGGCCATGCGTTCGGACTTCCAGTTCCAGAAGCTTTTAAAAGGGGAGAGGTGGTGACTTGAACCTGGGATGGGCGAGTATGGCGGAGGTGAGGAGGGACATAGGTTCGGACTTCCAATGAGAAGCAGACAAGGGGAGACAGGCTGAGGGCGAGAGGAAAGGGGGGCAGTTGGATATTGGGTTTAAGAAAGGTGGAGGAAACACAACCTTTCATGTCCATCAATAGAAAGGGCGGACAGCTAGCATCATAACATAACCACAGGGTCGAGAAAAGTTGATCCAGAGGATCCATGTTCTCGAAGACGTGCATTGGAGGGTGGGTCGTGAGGTTGACGCGGATGGCTCTTAGGTGGGGCCAAGACTTGTCTTTGGTTGTACCCCAGAGTTGGTTGCCAAGCTCGGGGTTACAAACCTGTTTCCTGACTCTGTTTCATGACTCGCCCCTCACCCCGGGTTGCAGTAGGACGCCTTTACCTGGTTCTACAACTTGGACAAGCTCATCCAGCACGTCAACGCGGACGGGCGCGTGCACGTCTTCTACTCCACGCCCGCCAGGCCGGCCAAGCTGAAAATCGGGCTCGGACTGTGCCCCTGTTGCCTTCTTTTTGGGGACTTCGGTGACCCGAATCTCACTCCCTGAGTTCCAAATATTGATACTTTTAGTGGCAAGAAGCAGGTTGGACTTGATTGGCCAATGCGCTCAGGGAGTGAGTCAATGGGTTCTATCAACTGGGATCCTTTCGAATAGGCATAATTGTCCAATTTGGTGCAAGCTGGAACCCCTTTGTTAGAACCCGTGGAAAGGGTTACCTGAAAACAGGGGAACCGTCAAAAACGCGACAACACATGACATCCTCGACGGACACGCACAGGCAACCTTGATTTCCTTTGGTCCTCATCCTTTCACCAGTGGCCCCATGATGTTACCACCCTCAAAGTCCCCCCCCCCCGTTCAGTGGTAGGTTAAAGGGAAGCAATCCACCAGTTGCTGTCTTTGGCAATCCGCGGAAACAGTCAATATCGATGTGATGAAGATTGATGAACCCCAGTAGTATGAGAAGCACTTTGGGATTGTACCGCATCCGCGGCAACTCGGAAATTGTGGAGTGGAGTCCCAGTCCTGAAATGGGCACATTTGCATCTGAGAGAAGCAAAATTATCCAGCAGGCCAGACTTGGTTCAAGGCTAACATGAGAGGCCTGGTGCCAGTGGGGTTTCCTCGTAAAGCCTTGGCATCTTTCTATGTTGGGGGAACCTACGCATGCTCTTCTTCCGGTGGTTGGCACGGTCCCCTTGAAACGGGCGAAGAACGAACTCCGACTCGTCGGTTTTGCGGATTCAGCGCTTGATCTTTTCCTGAGCGCGAAATGGTTCTAATCAGGGTACGCGGCGGTGGAATGAATTCGATGTGCTCTTTGGGCCCCCTCTTTTTGGAGTTGGTGCGGAGGCTGTTGCTCCAACTGATGCTTCAGGTCAAGTGCCTAACCTTCCAACCAGGGGGTCACATGCCAACCTGCCGCAACTCAGACATCTGAATCCATGAGGTATGTGGAAGCAAAGAAGGCAGAGAAGCTCACTTGGCCTCTGAAGGACTGCTCGCTTGAGAAGCATCCGAGGTATGGCCAAGTTTGCTCATTGAACGTTGGTGGTCCATATGTTTGCCGTTGAGTTTACCTTAGGTTTCCTGTTGACCAACAAACAAACACACTTGTTGCAACAATCCCCGGACCGTTTGGCTTTGCCGACCTTTTCGCCCTTTGTTCCAACCAGCAGCACCTAGTCGCCAGTGGCACACCGATTCCTTTGTTTTGTTTTGGGGATGGGTTCCCTTGCCTTCTTCCGATCAGCAGGCTTGCGAGGAAGCTGCCCCAACCGGACCTGTGAGCAGATCGGATTTTTTTTTCAACACAGAGCCTTCTTTCAAGGAGGCCAACGAGGGTACCCAGACCTCAACAAGCAACCCCAGAATTTCGGAACCCTTGGAGATGTCTCAAGAACACCTCTAGGGGGTTCCCTCAAAACCACCCTGAAAAGGCGTTTTTTTTTTTCCTGCCTCGTTCGCCTCAAACAATAGGGTTTCAAAAAATCGGAAGGAGAAAACTTCGCTATGAAGCTAGCCACTTGGGTCGAGGACTTGAGGAGTAATTCGCCGCTGGCTCCAGGTGTATCATAGGCTCATGGTCTTCAGATGTCAGTTGGATCACTTCAAAGGGGTTCCCAACCAAACCCACAGGGCAGGGTTGAGGATCTAGAATTCTTCTCTATGCCAAGCACCTGGGTCGACCTTTTTGGTAGGAGGACGACTTCTTCCCCTACGCGGACGGGCCCCACAAGTTCTGGACGGGATACTTCACCTCCCGCCCCGCGCTGAAGCGATACATCCGGGACACCAGCGCGTTCTACCAGGCGGGGTGGAGGCTTCCATGTGCTGAAAGCCCCCTGTTGGCGTTCAAGTTGCTCCCATATGAATCAACCCCTGTTTATTGGCTTGGTGGCTCCCGGGGTGTCCCTGGGTTTAGTGGGCAATCATCACTTTGGAGGGGAACACCCCCCCGGTTAAAACAACTGGGGTTGATTAATCCGGGCTGCCCTCAGATCCCCCGCTAAAAGTTCCGCTTTTAGTGGGTTAAATGGAAACTACCACTAAAACACGAAAAGGCTAAAAAGGTAAGGAACCGGATGGCTCCTATGAATAAACAGGGGTTGATTATGGGGTCAACATTACAGGTCATTTATCACCACTGGACATGTATGTTTTTTGTTTTTTTCCCGGGAGAACTTAAGCAAATGAAGGTAGGAAACAGACCTGGCGGCCTATTTTAGGGGGAGGAGCTGGGCCCCGTCAACTTTTTGGGTTGCCTCAAAGTGGATTTTCCGTTTCCGGCTGCAGCTTCCAAACTTTGGATCTTTGGTCCGAAAAGCATCCGACTGCAAGTGGGCAACAGGGTGGAAGGGTTCACGGCACTTGGGGATGACATAGGATTGGAATCTCTTCCCTAGGATCCCAGGACCTTAACTCTGAACCAGAAGGTCCAAGTGCCTTCTAAGGAGGTACTTCGACCCCTTTTTACCCCCAAGAAGCCGTTGGACCCTCTGGGTGAGGGGATGGCTCATGGCTGCCCCTGAGGTGGCAAAGCAGGTCAGCGCCCTCGCGGGCGCTGGCGCCGATGGTTTGGAGAAGCTGGCGGAGGATGGGATTGACCAGGGGCGTTCGTTTTCCCCCACGTCAAAGTGGTGGATACGAGGAAGAAAACGGGCCCCCTGGGCTTTATGTATAGTGAATTGCATGGGAGCTAGGTGGGGTAGGGCGGTTTGGGGGAAGTGAAATCCAGTTATTGTTTGGGTATTTCAGTGGTGAAACACCAGAAAGAACTGGTTCCCTTTTTCCTGCCGCTTCCCCACCAAAGATGGAAATTCCCCAATGGAACCGGTTCCAGACCATTTTCTCCCAAAAAGCCCTGCAACCCCCAAAATGGAACCGGTTCCAAGCCACGAACCTGCAGTCTGCCCGGCACGGTTGATCAATACATGGGTATCTTTGTTTTTCCCACTTTGTGGTTGAAAGATCCATAATTTTAGTGTATTTTCTCCATTGTCATCTCATGTATCACGGACCTTTGGATCAACCCCCCGGTTTTTTCTCCTCCCCCCTACACAAAAAAGAACAACAACAGAAAAAAAACAAATACAAAATAACCCCCTTTCTCCTCCCCCCCAAAGAAAACACAAGCAAAAAACAAGAATCACAACAGCGAACAACTCATGCACGGGTTCCGCTCCATGCCTCGCGTTGCAACCGCCGTCGGTTGCCGCACGGGTTCCGTCGTCGCGCGCGGCTCTCGGTTCGGTTCGTTGCGCACGTCGTGGCGAGGCCATGGGCGTGGCGCAGCACCACGACGCGGTGAGCGGCACGGCCAAGCAGCACGTGACCTTCGACTACGCCCAGCGCCTGAGCCGCGGCAGGCGGGGACGGAGGGTGGAGCGGTGGATGGATGGATGGATGGATGGATGGATGGATGGATGGATGGATGGATGGATGGATGGATGGATGGATGGATGGATGGATGGATGGATGGATGGATGGATGGATGGATGGATGGAAGGAAGGAAGGAAGGAAGGAAGGAAGGAAGGAAGGAAGGAAGGAAGGAAGGAAGGATGGGTGGGTGGGTGGGTGGGTGGGTGGGTGGGGGCGGTGCTTAGGTTCAATTTGCTGAAATAAACAATTGCTTTTTTCAATGTTGGTAACTGGAAATATGATTGTGGAATCGGACCCCGCAAGATATCTTTGGTTTTTTCCTTTTGGTGTCCCTTTCAAGCCATCTTGGTCAGTCCTTTTGGTGGGGGGGGGGATGGGGGAAGTTGAATGGATGAACAGGTTGAGGGATTCCTTGGCCCAAAACGAAAACACGTCGCCAGGGCCGCCGCCATGGAAACAGTGCCCAAAGCCTTGCAGAAGCTCACGCACTCCAACGAGGCTTGTGGCGCGTGACGCGAAACCGGCGGAGCTGAGGGGCAAAGCTTGGGGGAAAAGCACTGTCCAAATCCCTTACCTTACCCAGAGTCTCCAAGTACCTCCTGAGGATGGCTTTTGGCGGCACAAAAGGGTCGAAGTACCTCCTTAGCTTGGACCCTCTGGGTTAACAGCTCGGCAATCCGAGCAAAACCCCGACGTTTTGCAGGTCGGAGCCGTTTCGGCAAGTAGGTAACATATCTTATCCCAGTCTTTCATGTGGTCTCCTTACTGCAAAATGGAATCCCTGGGGTGCTTGGGTGTCCTACAGGCGCCTTTGGATCGAGCCCTCCGTTCTTTGGCACGGGGATTGCATTCCCATTCTTTCCAGGGATTGTTTGGCAGGAACATGTTTGCCCAGCATCGCCCAGCCAGCGAAGGATGGATGAATAAAATGGAAAAGGATTCCTCCGAAATGGACATGGACATGGAAAAGGATGGAAATGGAGATGGAAATAAAAGAGAAGGAATCCACCCAAAATGGATATGAGACATGGACACATGAAGGGATGAAGCATGACATGGAACAAATGAGCAAAAAAGGATTCAAGCGAAATTGACATGGAAGTGGAAGGGTCGGTATGGACATGGAGATGGAACGAATGGAGAAGGAACCCACCCAAATGGACATGGAAATTGAGACGGCTGCAAGTGGAAATGGACACATGCAAACAACTTTCACCCAAACCGACATGGACAGGGACAAGGATGGAACATGACACGGATAGAATGGAAAAGGACACTCACCAAAGATTGATATGGAAATGGTATGAGCTTGGACATGGGTATGGAAAAGAATGGGGTAGACTCCTTAGGATCCCACGATCTTAAAACACTTAAGCTTGATGTTTAGGGGCTTTGGGGGCATATTCATACCCTGGGTCTGAATTCTAGACTTGTACCACTGGGAAAGGTTATAAACACATGTCACATGATCATTTGCGGGCCCAATATTAAGATCAGCCCCCACTTTCCTTTTTTTTCTTCGAAACACAAACAAAAAGCAACAAAAAAACGTCGACCCCTGGAGTCGATTGCGTCAGGCCTCCTTCACGCAGTGCGAGCTCCGGAACGTGTCGCTCTGCGCGGCCACGCAGGATGTGGGCAAGAAGACCAACAGGCGACGATCGGTCGGTCAGGTACCCCAATCTGGACGTCAAACGGGTCTCCTCCGTTTTCAAACATACTCTGAGGTGGACAAACTTTATAGTATAAAGCAGAATATGAAGGGTCCTTCTTGCTTACCCAACTCTTAAGGGGTTGGGTACGCCAGGAGAGTGTTTAGTTTCCATGATTATCTCCTGAGGGAAGTACAACTGGCTTGGTGGGTTGTTTGGTCGCAGCACATGAGCTGGTGAAACAAGAAAGGTAGTGTTGGCCCCAAGCCCATTCGATGGACCGTTGGCAAGGGGAAGCAACAACACAAAGGGCGCTTGTGCTGAAACGAGGCGAAGCGTGTTTGGTTTGTTGATGGCTGAGGATCTTGTTTGTTGGGTCTGGAGCGAATTGATTTTCAGCACCCTCCAATTGACTTGTCATTTCCACCATGTTCAAACATCCCAAGTATTGTGATCCAAACAGCATCTCAATTGGTTGGAGATTCTTGGCTTGGGCTTGACCACGGAAAGGTAAATCGGGGGATGGCATGCTTGAAATCTTGTCTGTTCCCTGGGTAATTCAAACGTAAAGTGCTGGGCCGTTTGAAATTGAGTAGTCTTCTTGTTGTTGTTGCTGCCCAGACGCTCATGGACGTTGGGACACCCCAGGGCCCTCAAATATCCTCTTTACGAAGGCCCAGGGAGTAGTTGGAGCGTTTGGTTGAGCCAATTACCTAGTAATGACAAAGGTCAAGTAACTGGTTTGGGGTTGAAGCAAATCGAACGGGTCCGTGTAACCACGCGAGGGTCGTAAACCATGAAGAGTCTTTTCATGGGGTTTCTTGCATCAGGTTTGCTACTTTCTATATACTGTATGGGGTTGTGTCTAAATAGTGGGATCGCACACATGGGCATGCGACTGTTGGTTTCCCTTCAACAAACGCCCAAAGTGGCTATCTATCATTCGAGAAGAGACACCACATATTCAAAGGGTGTGTGTGCTTAAATGGGGGACACCCTCACATCCCAAATGATTTACAATCTAGAAGCTTCAATCGAGGGCGTGTCAAACATAAAGTCCCGGTTCTGTGTGCCCTCGCACTAGGGCCGCCGGCCCTATTCCACTCCTTCTTTCCGGAAAACCAACAACTTAGAGGGAAGCGCCAGAAATGTGCAAAGAACGATGGACAATGGCATTTTACCTCCCTTATGTTGGAGGCGGGGGTCCTGGAAGAACATCAGGGGCGAACTCCCAAGAATGCATCCGAATTGAACGCTCTATGGCAAGCTCAGATTCGGAGCTGACCACAAAGGCTCTTTGCTTGGCAATCCCGGAAATAGCGGGAAATGGTTGCCCTAAGACTTTGCAGAGGCATCCTTTGTGTGAGCTTTTCTTGCCTCCTATCGGTTTCGTATCTTTAGATATATATTTTTTGGTGGAAGTCCTCGAAGGGTTCTCCACTAACCCCACAAAAAGTTATAAACTTTTGGTACCTAGAGCACCCAAACCCTGAACAAAGGCATTATTTATACCCCGCCTTTTTTTTCTGGGTTTAGTCGCTAGGTAGGGAGGTCGTTGCAGTTTTGGACAACACACTCGAGGAGCGCCCCGCTTGCGTCTTGCGAGGTCCTGCTTCTCCGTGTGGAACGGCCTGGGCCGCGAGCGCGAGGCGCGGGTCTGTCGTTCTTTGGTCCCAGCTGGTTCTTTGGTCGCTCCTTTTGAGTTGTCCTTTTTAGGGGCTGGTGCAAAGGGGAATTTAAAGTTACGTCGAAGCCTTGTTATTTGTTTAAAGTTGTTTTTTTTTGGGGGGGTGCCCACATTTTGAGACAAAGCCAATTTGTTGGTTCAGGGTTGATTGAACGTGAAGAATAATCAGGCTAGTTTGTTTGGCCTACCCCAGTGTTGGGTCAAGTGAAGCGGGTGAAGTGGGGCCATTTGGAGCCTCCACAGTATCGATTTCACGATTCAACGTGTTTGAAAGACCATCAAGTTGGTGATAAGTCTTGACTGTCTTGACTTCTGACCAATGCACTGAGTGAGATGACCGTAAAGCCGTTCACACCACTTTTGAACGCTGACGTGTTTGCACCCACAAGTAGTTTCAATATCTTGCGGGTGAAGAGCCATGTCAGGGCTTTGATGAACCTAAAAGAAGCGTTGGGGATACCACCGAGGCTTGTTTGTTTTGAAGATTTTCTTACCTCTTAAAAACACAACTTTTCAACTTTTTGGGTAACATGGGCTATATGTCTGTAAAAGATTAACTTCCCCAGGGCTTGGAGTTTTAAGGGGTAAGTTTAAGGATCCCTACGCGGCAAACATCTTGTTTTGTGTTGAACTGGGCTGTGTTGTGTTGTGTTGTACTGTGTTGAGTTACGTTGTTTTGGTGGGCTGTGCTGTGTTGTGACATGTTGTTTGTGTTGCGGTATGTTGTGCTGTTGTTGAGCTGCTGTGATGTACTGTGGTGTTTTTGTTTGTGTTGTCTTGCATCGTGTCGCCTAGTCCTGCCCCGTTCTGTCTGTTGTGTTTCAGGTTGGGGAATCTTGTCTTGTTTTGTTTTGTTTGTTTGAATGATTTGCAGGCGTTCGTGTCGTGTTGCCTGCTCGTGTGCTTGTTTGTGGGCGTGTTTCATTTCTTCAATTGCCATTACCCACTTCCTGAGTTCCCGGACTTTCAACTTTTGGCAAAGAACAAGTTTAGACCTTTTCTGACCAATCCACTCGATCGGAAGTTAGGTCTCTGCCGGATCTGCGAATGCAGCATTGGTGCCATAGGCGTCCTTTTTGGTTGTTTTGGTTGAAGAATAGATGGCCCTGGTTTACCTGACGGCTTAATCATCTACCAGGGCCATCTATTTCCCCTAAAAGGACACCTATGATTGTTGCCCAAAGGATCCGGCAGCTCACGAAGTCTATGAACTTCCATGCGGGCCCCAGGTCTTGGTTGTCCCTAGAAAACCGATGTGTGACTACTCCTTTCGTTTTTGTTTTCGTGACGACCGTCTATTTGGCAGTAGCTCCATTTTGTGGAAAATTCCATCTACCAGCCACTGGGATGGGAACTCATGTTTTCAGGTTGCAAATGCCAGAGCATTGCTTTCTATGCTAATTAGGGTATGTGGTTTCCGAAGCTTGGCGGACTGGCGAATCGCAAGATTTGCGAGGCAAGCCGGGCTCTATACATGGGCCCCAAATTGGTAATGTTGACCCCATATTAATCAACCCCTGTTTATCAATATGGGGGCACCCCTGGGTTTAGTGGGGTATTTGGGGCTCAAAACTCTTTCAAAGGGTATTTTAGGGATGAGATCATGTTTTCTCTCCCGCTAAAGACATAGGCAAATAACAACTCACCAACTCAGCCACATGATCTTGAAGCCAATGAAAAAGAAAGACCTCATCGAGACCATGAGAAACAGAGCCGGACATTTGGGCGAATCGCAGGAGCTGGTGGAACTGCCCGTCTCCACGAACCTGCTGCGCGTGGTGGATGCGGATGGCAAGGCGCGCAGCTGGGCTGGTGGGGACCATTCGGGTCTTTCTAGGAATCGGAATCGGTGCCTTTTTGGGAGTTTAAGATTTGAGGCCCAAAGGAAACCAACCAGCTGAAGATCTGAAGGGTCTCCAATGTTGAGTTCCACCCATGCTATAACTTTATGTCTTTGCTTGGGGCTAAAACAAATAAACAACGGCAAGTTAATCCTAGGCTTAAACATGATGCTGTGCTGGGCGTGTTTGGGTTTGTGCCATCACCCATTGGCGCCTTTGGTCATCGGAGTAGAGTCACTTTTTGGGAAGATCAATTCGGCCTATGTCCTTTTGACACCCCTTTTCGGAACTCCGGATGGATGTGGTACGGGGAAATTTCAGGGTCTGCACAGCAAGCCCCAGGACATCTCTCCGTTTGTTTTTTCTTGTTTCTCCTCTTTTTTTTCCGGCCACGTTTCCCTGTGCCAATCCAATCAGTGAGTTTCACTCCACTCAAACAAGCGGCCCTGCTCCCCTCAGATGCCTTACCCTGGAATCCCAAGCAACAATGCATCATTGGTAGACTTTTTTTTGTGGGTGGGGCGAATGTAAGCTCACCGAGCCGGGGGTAAAACGGGGTCATGGCAAAGATCCTTTCTGGGGGATCCGATTCTTAGTGTTCTCATTATTTTGACTGTGTCTAGGGGTTATCAAAGTCAGAAATTGGAATCGGCTGTTTCCCTTGAGAAGGGTAAACACATGGGGGCTTGCCGTCTCATCTCAGGTTTTGGACCTCCCCCCACCCACCCCACCCCACCCAGAATTCTAATTTGGCGGTGGGTCAAAAATCGGTCCCAAAATGGCTTGCCCTGGTTGGACACATGGACTAAAACCTGCGGTCCAATTCCTGGTGGTGTAATTTTGACCCATACCCATTTGGCCATGGGTTGCATAACCTCTGGCGATCCCATTTTGCGGTGGATGAACATACATTTGCCACCTCGATGTTCGCCACAAGTACAGGGTGTTGACCCACATTGACATTTATGGCCCATTCATTTGCCCTGGCAGCACCCCATTGACCATTTGTAGCAGCCGGTTTTGACCCACAGCCATTTGAGGAGAAGAACCCCAATGCGAGGCGGTGCCCGTGCAGCTGGTGGACTCCCTGCCCTCGGTGACCAACTACGGGGCGCCAGCAGGCGGCCCGCGGTCTGTGCCGTGGGGTCTGTGGGGTTCTGCGGGGTTCTGTGGGTCTGGTCGGTGGGTCTGTGGGTGGTGTCAAAAATCCGGTTTCCAGGAAAACTGCCGGGGCGGGGGTGTTAAAAAATCGCCGCCCTTTTAAGCAATTGTTGTTCAAAGGGAAACCAAAGGAAGCCTGCTGTGTTTTTGGGGACACTTGAACGGGGTCGCCCACTATGTCATAGCGAGCTGCCTATTTCTGGAGGAGGGCACCCAGAAGATCAATTGTGGAGGGAACGCACTTGGCCAACTAATACCAGACCCCCCGCGTACAATAAACACGTGATCCCCGCATAAGCCCCCCCCTGCAGTTATTGTTTCAATTCGTACAAATAGAGGCGGTAACAACAGAACCACCATCGGCGTTTTTTGTTGCTGACAGCACCTGGGGGTTGGAGGTGGGGTTTGAGGTGTCGTGCGCTGAAACATTCTTATCCTCGAACTCTTGCTCACGTCCTCAAAGTGTTTGCTCCTCCTGAAAAAAAGGGGTGTCAGTGTGCTAGAGTCTGCATGCAGGGTGGAGCCAACTGTAGCATCAGGAGACACATATGTTTGGTGACTGAAAGTTATCACAACAAAACATTCCGGCTTTGCATCTCAGGCAAGCCGATCTGGCACCCAGCTTAATTGTCCCGTTCTTTGGGTGTGGTTTAAGTGTTCCCTTGGTTGGGGGTGAAATAGCGAACTGGGCTTGCCTTTTGCCACGAAGCCAGGTAGAACCAGCTAGAGTTGGGAGAAAGATGGCGCAAATTTCACGGCAGGGATGCGTCATCCCCTTGCCCAATAAGCAATTCCGCCATCCGCGATGTATTGTTGACCTTGGGTGTTGTTTTTTGGCAACCACTTTCAGAGGTTTTTAAGGCTTGACACTTCTAGTACAGGTCCCCAAAGTCGACCTGACCGCTTCCATGTTTGGAGGTCCCACGTTGACCCAAGCCCAAAATCCACGTCAACGCTCCAATCCGTGAGCTCCTGGGCTTCAAACTTTTTGGGGTTTGGACACGGGTTCTTTCGGCCCGGCAACTCGATCTTGGGAAGTGAGAACAGGGCGAGCCCCGGATCCTCTTTCTTTTTTGCGGCCCCAATTTCTTGGGAAGTGAGAACGGGGTGAGACCCGTTTTCTCTTTTTTTGGAGGTGAGGTCCCCAAAGCTTGACCTGAGAAACAAGTACACAAAAACAAAGGAAACACACAAAAAAGAGCAAGTCAACCACCCAAAGCCCCAAGGCTCATGCGTGAGGAAAAAGAAACACCGCCGGGGCCCGGATCGATCCACCGGGCCAAGATGCCAACCGACCGCCGCGGGCCGAAGCCGAAGCCCGAAGCCGCAGGCGGCGCTTCGAAGACGCTGCTGGCGCAGCTACCGCTGCCGGCCCTGGGCGCCGGGAGCTTCTGTCTGGAGTCCTCAGGCGCCGTTTGTTTTGGAAGGCCATCCGGGTTTCGGGTTTCAGACAGCTTTAAGGTGGTTTTTGACGTTCTGTGGTTGGTTCAAAAAGCTTTTTAAGGTGCATTATTGTGTTTTGTCGGTCTTTGGTTTCCCTTGTTAGTGTTTTTTGTTTGTTTCTGTTTTTGGGTTTCAGTTTCCCTTGTTGGTTTCGTTTTTTTTAAAGCTTTGTTGGTTGTTTTTGGCGTTGGGATGAGTTTTAAGCTTGACATGGTTTGAGTTTTAGTTGGTTTCGGGTTTGGGGTTGAGTGGGTTTGGTGTGTCTTGCTTGTTTACCTGACGGAAGGAGCCGCTCGAAGCAGGTGGGGGGGAGGACAAAAGCCGGCGATTTGCGGAGCTCATCTAAAATTCGGGGGGAGGGGGGTAAAACCAGCTTATGATGTGGCTTCCAGCCGTCCGATTCCTTAGATTTGAGTTGTTTTTAGTTGGCTTAGCGGCTGGATGTCCATTGAACCCACTAAGAGTTAGTCACCTTTAGCAGCGGATCTGACGGCAGCCTAGTCGGTTGTGTTTTTTTGTTGAGGGTAACCTTTTCACCTTGATTAAAAGGGAAAACAACCAGAATCCCGGAATTTGTGGGGGCCCCGTTTGACACACACCATTTACCTGGTTTTGCAGGTAACCAATGGAACCACCCCCCTATTGGAGGCCCAAATGCCAATAAAGGGAGCGATTTTAGCGACTGACAGGGCGAACTTTGGGGACTAATAGGGTTCCTTTGGGAAGATTAAGCATGGGGGAACAGGTGCCTGTTTCTTGGAATATTTCTTGGAATGTTCCGCTATGGGTTGCGGAGGAAATGGTTTCTTTGCAAGGCTTGGGAGTAAATGACATTATCATCTTATCAGGATAGAACTATTTGCATCACGAGGAAGTGCTGGAAGCTACATTTGTTTAATTATTGAATCACATGTTTATATTACTTTTTAATCATAATTATTATGAATTCTGGATTCATAGTCACATCACATCCTAGGTTTCCCCTGGTTGCCTTCTACAATGTCCTGCCACTGTTTTCACTCACGCAGAAGTGGCGGTCCCCAGCAGCATGCGCGAGAACTCCACCGATTGCGAGGCGCGGGTTTCCCTCTGATTTCTTGGAGTGTGTGTGTGTGTGTTGTTAGATTGATTGACCTTTTCCAAGTGCCAAAGTTTCAAAACAAAAACAAACCACGTGATTTCATTTACCCGATGAATTGTGTTTTTCTCGAAAACAAAATAGGTAACCAAGAGAACCACCCTTTTGACACCGAAGACTCTTGTTGGTTACCTACAGTGGTAACTGGGATCTGGGAATGGGCAACGATCTGGTCTTTGGAGCAGGCCTTTCATCAGTCTGACCCAAAAAATGCTTTCGACGGGTGAAGTGGAGCACCCCGAAAACACGGTGCTGCGTGTGTTGCGCCGCCTGTTTTTGGGAAAGATGTTCGGTTCTTGGGCAGCGCGGTGCGGATTGGCCCTGAGCTCGTAGCCAAGGCGTGCCTGGGCCAACTTAAAGGGGCTTCCTTTCAAACCATGCAGCACAGGGGCTTCCTTTTTCGACGACAGACCCATTTTTGGGTTTTTCTCAAAGTGGTCCCCCTTCCCAAAATGAGTGGTGTCCGATCCGTTGCCTTGAACACAATCAACTGCAGCCTTGAACACTTCATGGTGGTTGTTGGGAAACGTTTACCATGTTTGCTTATTGTGGTTTAGTGGGAAATCCCCACTTAACTGATTTAAATGTTTGCTCCCCTTCCAACGGCAACCAAGACTTGGCGGGTTGGATCTTCAACCTTCAACTCTTGAGAGAAGTGGGGGCTGAGAGGTGGCATCACCAAGTGTGCTTTGTGCTCAGCTGCTTCCTTGTCGACAGAGTTTTGGCTCAGAGGGCAATCGCCACCAAGAAAAAACAACGCAAGGGGTCTGTTTGGGTCGTGTGTTTCGAGGGAACTATTGTGGCCCTGGTTTAAAGGGAACCACAAGGAACCCCACCAATCTTGGGGTCCCCCACATTCTGTGAGCCTTCGAGCCGTCGGGCGATGCAGGTGCTGGAGAACGATTACCTGTCCTTGGAATTCTGCAGTGGCCGCTGAGCAAAATCGCCGGGGGGGGGGGGGGGGCAAGACCCATGCAGACCCCCCCCCCCCCCCAAAGTGGTTGGGATATGTTGGTTTCATGTGTATTGCCCAAAACCACGACAGGCCAAGAACGGCGTCTCTTCTGGTGTTTTGTGTGCCCTGCAGACACCGCTGGTGTTTACCAGTGAAAAACCCCCCGCTGCCAACGGACAGAACAAGTCCCAAGAACCCGAACCAAACCACAAAGGGTGGCCCTTAGATCCCGTCATGGAGATTTCTGTCGAAATGACCGGGAAGCTGCAACCCCTCAAAGAGGGCGTTCACCCACATGGGGGCCGCACATCTGAATTCGCCCGGCTTTTTGCGGGGAACTCGGGAGAGATTCCCAGAAAGCTCGGTCGAGGCCTGCTGTCCAAGATCACGAACAAGGAGAGCAACATCTCCACCCGTGCGGAGCAGTCCTTCTTTTGGTACAACGCCGCTCGGGATGAAGTGCCTACCTGGAGTCTCTATGACCCTTTAAAAATAGGTACATGACCCCTTTATTTTGGGTAATGACCCCACTTTTTAAGGGTCATGGAGACTCTAGGTACTTGCTCTCAAGAACTTGGTGTTTCCAGGCAGCGTCCTCCTTTGTCAGTCGGGCTGACATATGCCAAGAAGGGTGTTTGGAGTAGGCCCGGCTTTTGACTGCTGGCTCACCCAGTCATGGAAACCAGGCATTGCCGACAGTTGGCCGACAACCCAGAGACTGCAGGAGATTTCCCTGTATCGCTGTCCGCCTTCAGCGGACTTGTGAAGCCCCTGGTTGGGATATGACCTCCACATTGAGACTGATTGGCAAGGTGCATGTGCATTTGTAGCTCACCATCAGTCAAAAAAGGGATCGACCTTGTGACGTCAAGGTCCTTTGGGCAAGGGAGGTCTACTTTATTTACCAGTCCAGCTTTTGACAGCTTGTGGCGCATGTTGAGTTTCTTTTCTAAAGTTTGCCAATGAATTGTTCATGTCCCAAAAGGAAACTGGTGTTAGTTCGTACCCGGGCCATGTACTTAGCACGTAGCTCTCAACATGAATTTTGCTGGGGAAATCAACTGTTGGCCCTGTTCACCTTCCGAATCCCTCTGGCATCTGGGTTCCTCACTGCTCACTAAAAACAAAAGTCAACGCCGCAATTTCCTCCTGTTTTTTCTCTGTTTTTTTTCCCCCCCGAGAGTCATTGCGCCGTGGAATTTCACGGCTTAAAGCCTGTCAAACCGAGGCTTTCGGTTTGGACGGACGATGAAGGTTGAATCCGCGATGCTTTCCACCCAAGGAACCGCCGCTTTTTCCCTTCTCCAAGCTGCATTTTGGCCAGTACCCGGACCATCGGACAGCAATTGTTGGGTGCCTCTTGTTCGCTAAAGAAAGTCTGAGCTCGACTGTAGAGCCACCACAAAGCCACCAATTGGAGGGAAGCTGGTTATGTAGGGGTTGTTTTGAGCTTCCAGATTTGTTTCCCATCGATCGGGTCTATGTAGCAACAGCGCTGGAACCCAGAACTGCACACCCGAAACAATCTGCAATCCTCGCCCTACACCCACTTGAGCAGCGCCCAAACCCCCCACAGGCCATTTAGTAGGTAGTCCTGCTACCTGTCAGAAGGATTCTTAGCAAGGCCCGGGAAAGTTTATGCTTCCCACCCATGGGCGGGGGGGGTGGTGTGGACCATTTTCGCTTCCAAGGGACCATTTCCCGAACCTGAGGTTCCATGTGGGTACAAACTTGTGTCAATCATCTTTCTGCATGATTTTTGGCGAGCTTACTGATTCGGGGGTATAACGAGCCCACCAGGACAAAGATCCTTGGTTCATTGGTGTATTTTGGTTTTCCTTTGGACCAAGGTTGGACCCTGCCGTTTTAGCCTGAAAGACCATGTCAAAGACTGTGGCAGCAAATACCCAAGCAAAACTATGGAATCTGAAAGAGGCCCGCCCAAAGACCTTGATTAGGAAGCTTCCTGAAGATGTGGGGTCTTTGCCGAGACCTATTTGGCCATGGGTCAAAATCCCGTACGCCATGTACGCCCAGTGAACATCCCAATCCCCACTAAAATCCCGACTAAACTGGGTGGTGCACCGAAAACCCCCAAAATGGTACCATTGGTTTTGACCCACAGCCATATGATTCACTTGGGTCAGGGAGGGTTTGCAGATCTCTTGACTGCTATTGGGTTGGATCTTTAGACTTTAACTTTTTGGGAAATAAAGGTGTGTTCTACTAACCCCCCAAAAAGTTAAATTTGTTGCAGGGGGGTCAACAGCAACCAAGATCTTAGCTAAACCCCACGTCGCCAACTCTCGCCAACTCTCGCCAACTCTCGCCAACTCTCGCCTTCGATCCGAGGCCTCGGTGGGTGACAAGGCCAGCGACCAGGCCAGCGGCGCCTACATCTTCCGGCCCACCCGGGACCAGGCGCTGGCGCTGAGATTTTCCCCCGGTCCCAGGTGGGCTTTTCCCCCTGTGGTTTTTTGGTATAGAATAAACAAAAGAAAGAAGTGGGGGGTGAGTCAAAAGAAGATGCTGGAATTGACCATGTTGGCTGGAATTGATGAGTTTGGGGGGATTCCATGTTGATCTGCAGAGTAGTAGGTGGTTAAGCATCATGACCGACTTGGACGCTCCGTGGCTTTGGTGGATTGCAACAATTTGGTACCAACAAGTACCCACGCCTCGGGCCTCCAAGACTACTTCCTATATTTTAGGGTATAGACGAAACACGCCACCAGAGCCGAAAAAAGTCAAAGACAAAACACATTTTCCGTGTTACCCCCCTTTTGGGTGGGCTTCAAGACGTGTTTTCCCATCCCCCCGCCCCCCTTCCTGGCAGCCGGCAGGCGCTGCCCGTCTTCAATGGCCTGCCCTTCCTGAAGGTCTACCGGGGGCCTTTGGCCGACGAGGCGCCTTTCCTGTCGCCTTCGGCGTTCGTTGGGGTTGCGGGTTTCGGATTCGGGGGGGCGATGCTGTTGCTTCGGATTCGTCCGGGTGGCGGGGGGAGGCGAGGTGTTCGGATTGGGTTCGGACTTGACGCCCACTTGGGTGGTTTTTGCGGTGAAAGGTACACTCTCTTGGTATGGAACCTGACTGGGGGTTTGTTAAAGAAACTATTGGGCATAGGCTAGGCCGAATACAAAAAACACAGTGGGAAGAAGAGATATCCCAGATGTAGGCCAGGTTAACCGGTTTTTTTAAAGCAAAACCATCAAGGTGAAAGCCTACCTGTTCTTCGCCCTAAACTTGAGACCCGCGTGGAAACCCGCAGGTCTGCTACCCCTCCCAGCTTTGGATCCAATGCTGCGGGAACACCCCATGTTCGGTCCGAAAAAAATAAAAAAATAGTAAATAAAAAAACGGCTTTTCAGGGGCGGTGCTTGATAAGTGGAAACCATGGTTAGAACCGACTTACCATGCTACCATTTGGTTAAGAGTATGTGTTTTATGTTCCCATGTTGGTTTGGAAGGGCAGCCATCACTACTGGACACATGCTTTTTCCAGGGGAATGATGCAGGCATGGTTGTAGACCAAGGCGCACATGCGCCTCCTCAGCAACCTTGCTAAGAGCTTCAAGCATCAAGAATGTAATCATGGCTTTGGGCAGAAACCAGAACAAATCCAGAGAGGGTGGATAGTGAGGCGCGTACTTGGTATATATATATATATATGTTCATACACACTGCCCCTTCAAGCAAGGCGTAGTTTGGACGAGGGGCTGCTTGGAACAATTTGGGACGCCAACGATTCCATTCACAATGTCAGTGGCTTCATCTAACAATGCTCCCCCCGTTTTAAGTCAGCTAGGAGTGTTTACTCATGGATTTCCATTCGCTATTCCATTCACTATCAAGGTAACCCAGGCAACCACCCTTTGAACCTTGACAAGGAAAATGGCTGGTTGCCCACAGCTGGGATTCAATAACCTACCCTTCGCTACCTTCTCGAGTACTTTGGCCTTCAAACCGCCCTTTTGCGTGCGAGGATTCCCGGGAAGGGACTCAGTTTGTGGTGTACATCACTTGGCAAACCCCCAGCCGTCCAGTTCCGTAGGTCTTTAGGTTTGTTGGCAGCGGATCTGAGGACGGGCCGATTCAAAGTGGGCTTGCTTCGGGAAAGCGTGTGGGTTGATGTTTCAGGAAACCGGAGACAGTACTCAGGTTTTTACACATGAATGGAAAAAAAACTACCGTCATTGAGGAGTGGTCGATGGATTCCAAAGATCCCAGGCGACAAGTTGGCCGGGTAGGTCCGTCCACTTCCGTAGTTTTGGCTCAGCTGCTTTGTCTCGCACCCCTCAAAAGTCAAACGCGCGGCTTTAAGGACGCCATGGCTGCCACCAGTTCCTTTCAAAAGATGAAGGCCAGGATGGAGCTGGTTCATTGGGTGGATGTGTTTCACAACACGGAGCCGGAGCGCGCTCCATCCAAGATCGGCTGCTGCTTGACGATGCTCATGGTGCCGGTGATCCTGGTATATGCCGTGGTTTGGTTTACGGAGCACCAGCGCATGCCCCCCACTGAGACGCTGGTCATCGACTGGTCGGTCGCCTACGGCCCCTTCCCCATGAAGGTGCCTTTGGTGCATTTTGCCAAGGGATATTAGGACTTAAACTTTTTGTCAACAAATGGGTTTTCCGAATTAAACCACTAAAAGTAAAAACAAAAAAACAACTTTTAGCAGGGGAGCAGCAAGCAACCGAGGTGCAGTGCCTCGAGGCGAGCTGCTGGCTGTGGCTGTCCGGTTGCCAAAGCGGCAGTAGCGGCCAGTGCCTGGCGTTGCAGGCGGGGGAGGAGCGGGAGCTGGAGATGTGCTTCTCCCACGGTGCACGAGAAGGCCTCCATGCCTGGTGGTCTGGTGGCAACAGCTCTGGCGTGAAGATCTGGTCACAGGCGGCGAGCATGGAAATGAATCAGCTGGTTGAGGCTGGCCGGTCGTCCATGACTTACGTGAAGACGCTGGACTTGACGCAAGAGGAGGGCAGTTACAAACACCTGCGCCACGAGTGGTTCGCGAACTTTCTCTCCAGGGAGGCTTTGGAGCCCCAACACAATGGCTGCCAGGAGCATAGGGCAGGGGCGCAGCTGGCACAAATCGTGATGCAGCCAGAGTTCTACGACAAGAAGTTGGAGAAGATGGATTTCCTGGTGTCGCTCATCGGGGAGGTGGGTGGAGCCTATGGCCTCGCGTTCACCGCCTTCTTTGCTCTCTATGTGCTTGTGTGGAACTTGGAGACCAGCCAGCGCAAGCTGGAGGCAGAGGTCCCCACCCATGTCGCTCCAGGCAAACTAGCCGAGCACGACGTTGAACGAGCGGTGCTGTAGACAGAACAGTTGATGCATGTGCAGCGATCACATACCAACCCATCCCTAAGGGAATGGATGCCTTCCAATGCTTGAAAGCTTGTCCGGTCGAGATCATTTGTTTTGCTTGAGTGTAGGCGAAGTTCGGGGGGCTAAGCACCCCTGGATCCTCAAAAGAGTTTGCGACCCGGGCTTTCTTGCGGCGCTGCGAAGCAGTGACTCGATAATTCAAGGTGTGGCTAGCGGCATACAGCTACTGCACTGGCCGGGTCTTGGCGACTTTGCGAGGTTTTATGTCGCTCAAACCCTGGGTTCGACAGGATGGGTTAAAAAAGCGAAACTTCCGCCAATTATGGCTTGAACGCAAGCAGCTAAGCAAACCCAAAGCTTCGCGTCAGCCTCACTCCCTTCACAATTCCTTGGTTCGGAGTCCGGAGCATTTGTTCAAACCATGTTTTTCCCGCTTTGCGCCCTGAGTGTTGGTCCCATGCTATTAAGCCCGTTTCAAATGGGATAGGAATGCGATTCCTGAGGGATTTCATTTGTAGCATGTTCCGTAGCCTTCCCCGCGTATCATTGTCACTTGTTTGTTTTTCCCCAAGGTGTTTTTGTGCTTTTGGTCCAAGGCGGCCACTCACACGTGGCTTTGTCTCAGATTATCGGATACACCAAATTGGGAAGCCAAGAGGGAACCCCAGGAAGACGCCTATACAGGGGATCGATCCAAGGTTCTCTCCCTAGTACTTGGTAAGCTGCTCTCACTGCTATTCAGGCTGCTGCAGGTTCTTCCCCTTCTTGGGCTTGCAATGACTCACCAGGCTTGGATTATTTGAGATTGATCCTTTATTCTCCGTTTCAACCAGGTGGTCACTTGCAGTGTGTCCAGATGGCTACGGTCCAGATGGCTACGGGTCCTCTCATCATGACCCGTCCAGTCGATGCCACGTATGAAAGGGTTGTTTCCTCGGTTCCCTCCGCAGGGAAAAGGAATGACAGGGCTTACATTAATAGTCCCCCAAGTCCCAGTGAAAAGGAGCCAACTGCTATCATTGGGGGTTTCCAGTCGGTTGCTTGGCAGAACAGGGGTGAGTCGCTTCAAGGTCACTTTTTTGAATATGGGTTTCCGGGGAAGACCAAAAGGCGACTGAGACCACCTGACGGCCCGAAGAAAGACGCCCAGGTGGTGCAGGTGGTGGGCTCTTGGCTCATGCAGCGCGTGCGCCTGGCCAAGAAGGCCCGGCACGCGGAGATGACCTACACCGTGGGCGCCGCGGAGCAAAAAGCCAAAGCCGATTTCACGGGTGAGAGAGAGAGGGAGAGGGAGAGACTAGGTCCCCCAGCTACGGTGAGAGTTCGGGGTGTGCCGGCCCAAAACTAGTAGCGGCCCAGAAAGGAGCCCTGTGGCTCACCGGGGTTTCCTGGTACATGGACAAAGCAGACGAGAACCTGTGTGGACAGTTGTCAATCCAGTTGGATTCACTTGGAAACCATGGTTGAAGCCAGGGTTTGTTAGGTGGTGCAGGATTTCGTCCATCCACAGTAGGGGCCCAAAAGGGAAGCCCGGTGAATCGAAAAGTAGACTAAACCCTGCGTCAACCCCAGCTCTTTGGTTTTGAGCCGCACCCAGCTGGTACGTGTTTTGTCGAGGGCACCCGGCAGTTTGGAATGCTGGGAACTCAATAGGACCAGCGAAAAACGGGGTCCGAGTGGTTGAATATTTAACCTTTAACTTGTTTGTTTCCGACCAAACGTGGCTAAACTATGTGGGCGGGCAATAGCCACACAGATGTTGTTTTTTGTTTTGTTAGCAGGCTGAAAGCTTAGGTGTCTCTTCCCCACATAAGCCGGAGATTGTGTTGCAACACTTGTTCAAACGACACCCCCCCCAAAGCTAGTAAAACACTTTCACTCGAGTGAAGCGGCGACAAGCTAAGTCCAAGCTTTGTTTCTTTTCTGCTGTGACCACTGCCACGATCAATCCAGTCTTTGCATATGTGCTGCAAGATTTGGGTGGGTGTTGCTTTTTGGGGAGCTTTTCTTTGGGTTGGTTCTAAGGGGAAGTCAAAAGAAAAACCCTGATTTTAGGGGGTTCTCCCAAAAACAAGACACGCCCATGTAATACTTTTCTGGCGACCACACTGATACTCAAGAGGATGTTCATGGCAGTGCCCAAACGGTAGAGTGCGGCTCTGGTCGTGCGAGACCTGTAGAACTGCAGGAGCTCGAGCAAGATGGCTTTGATGTTTGATAAACCGCGAAAACAAGCGTTGGGGTCCACCAAAGGGTCCACCCATGGAGAAGCAGCTTCCAGCTTCTGTGCTGAGCTCCTGGACTTTTAGTCACTTTTTGGGTTCGGACCATTTTAGGACCCACTCGATCGAAAGTGGGGCTTGTGGGAAGAACTGGATCTGAGGTGAGATTCCGGTGGACGACGGCTGGGGTAAGGAGATCGTTTCTTGGCGAGAAGCAGAACAACAAAATTGGGCCTCCAGTTGGCTGTTTACTTCTTCTTCTTCTTCTTCTTTTTTAAGAACATGTTGTATTTTCTTCAGTTGGTTTGAAAAGGAATCTGTCACTACTGAAACCCAGGGGACTTAAGCAAATGCAGGTGCTTCATGTCTTGGCCCTTTTTTCGCCAGGGCCACCACAAGGTCAACCCCTTTATTTTCCGGGCCGTTGCGCAGCTTTTGTTTGGAGGGTTGCTTTTCCCTTCCTGTTTTGGAGGGGTTTTTGACGTGGTTCATTTATTGTGGGCAAAAGGAGGGTGTTGACCCTTGTCATGGTTGTTCCTCCGACTTTCACTTTGGCTGCTTCGTCCATGTTTTTAGGACTTCCCGCCCCAAAATGGGGTCATGTCACGTTCCGTGTTTTGTTTCCCGCATGTTCATCCAGAAAAATACCTCTGTCTTCAGGGCTTGGAAATGGTGACGAAAAGCTTCTTCCTGGGAGGGGGTGTCCCTACCAAATATGGGGGGGCGGTGTCTTGCCCCTGCCCACGAAAGAAGCGCCGTTCGAAGGGAACCAGCGAGCGGCCTTCGAAGCAAGGAGTTCGTGGGGAACGTAAGGGGTGGCCGAATATAAGCGGCGACATAACGCAAGTCTGTGTCAACTTGTGGCGGGGATTTGGCCCATATCATCGAACTCAGAGCATTTTGTTGGGATCTTAGGCTTTTGAGGGGACTGTGGTGCCGGTGGACCCGGAAGCCCTGGACAGAAGTACATAGGTCTTGCTTGCCAAAACGAATCGACTGGATCTGAGCTTTTGGTTTCCCTTGTCCATTTTGAGTAGGCCCAAAGCGTTGACCTTTCATTCCGGGTTCTTTGGGCACAGAAGTTGGTCATCCCATCCCTTTCCTAGGTCCCCCAGCGATTGGTGCCCGTTTACATCCGTTTACCGATCTTTTTTTGGGGAGGGTTCCCCTACTAAAATAGACTACAGAAAAAAGGGTACCCTTATTCTATGTTCCCTTCTCTCTTCCATCCACTCTTCTCCTTTGGATGTAAGCGAGAGAAGGGAAGGAATAGAGAGAAGAGTGACGAGGCTTGGTTCTAACAAATCACAAGCTGTCCCTATCTTTATCCTTTATTTCTCCCTTCCTATCTTGCTCGAGCATGTTGTTTCTCATGAACATGGAGCAAGATAAAGGAAGGCGGTCCAATTCCTGCTTTCTTCTTCATTATGTCTGGAAGGGAATTGGGGGAGAGATGTTGCGACCTTCCTTCATCATCTGACCCAAACAGGATGACTGACAGGGTTGGGGATAGAACATGAGAGTGAAGGAAGCTGAACAACACTTCATGCCGAGACATGGGACATGCAAGAGAGACGACTACAGGCATTGTTCGTAGTTGTCCTCTCTTGTATTTCCCATGTCTCGGTCAAGAACCTATGGCATCTTATATGAAATAAATGAAGGATGCCAATGACCGAGAGCGGCAAAGAAAGAGGTCCCGCTCATCCATTAGAATTACATGGGTGACCAATCGGTTCGAACATGGCTCCCCAATGCATCCATTTCCCTTGCCGAGTGCACCCATTGGTTGGGTATGCTCAATGATATTCCATGATTGTTACTCACAGTGGAAAAGTTCCAACTTTCCAACCCTGCATGGGTGTTGATTTTTCATTGGGGACCGTTTGGCAGACATCATGTAGGTGGGGATTCATGTGCCAACCACTTCTGAGGTGGTTCCGACCGTCCGAGAAGAATTCATGGTCGCACGGCTTGGGCCCATTTTGAGGCTCGGTGCCCCTTTTAGTACTTGTTCAAGGGACACCAACCATTTTGGGGGTCCAAATATGTCCAAATTCCCAAAAACGACACGCCACCCAGAAGGTGTGGGGGTGACTTTTGATGCTGACTCGCCTCGCCCTGGGCGAGGTCTCCCGCATCAGCACGGACCTCAAGACCGAGGGCCGCTGCTTCAGCGACTCCAACGGCCGCGAGATGTTGGAGCGGCGCCGCATCTTGGCCTCCGAACGTCGGGGAGATGCCCTCAGATGGGTTTAGCTTCTGAACCTGGGGGTTACTCAAGGGGAGCCCTTGACTCCTAGATTTGGCCTAAGGAAGAACTGGTTTACTCACATAAGACCTGTGCAGCTAAGTTGGATTCAAAATCCCCACAAGCCCATTCTCATTATTCAGGATTTAGGCACCTTCAGTACCCCAGCTGAAATGGGTCTGCCCTCCCCGGTTTTCGTCGGTTTCACTGGGGTTTTCTTGGAACGAGCTGGTCGATTCCCCGTGTGAGGCGACTTCCGAGCCACCTGGAAGCTGAACCAGACGGAGGAGGTGGCAGGCAGGATCGACCTTTGGGTGTCTTTAAAATCTTCCATTTGGTTAAGAATACTTTGTATTCTCCCCTGTTGGTTTTAAAGGGAATCTATCACCACTGGTTCCCTTTTCCCCAGGGGACTTAAGCAAATGGAGGAAATAGAAATTGCACCCCCCCCCCCCCGAAATGTGTTTCTTCCTCAGGTAAGAGTTTCGGCATGTTTCGGCAACTGCGCTCTCGCTGGGATGCTGTGCCAATTCGCGTCTGACATAGCAGTTTTTGATGGCTGGGGGCACGGCCTCGCGCGAACTCGCGTTGGACTTGGTTTCCCTTGCACAAGGGGTAATTTTTAAAGGCAACCACACCCCTTTAAGTTTTGGAGGTGCCTCCTGGAGTTTTTCAGGGGTGATATGCTCGGTTGAGCTTTCTCCAAAGAGCCAATTTATCGAGGGCTCCTGGGAAATTGAACGTCATGCACAACCAAAGGGCCTCGTGATTCCAGCTGGTGGGGACAAGAGGCATGCCCAGTCTGTTTGTGTCTTCCTGGCAATCCTGGTCACTGAACAAGTTTGCTTGCTTCATATCCTGGAAGCAGATTTCTTCCCAGTTAGGGAGGATGACCCAAGCTTTGGCTTAGGGTGCGAAATTTTATTTGACTATCATCCACTTTGATTCAAAGCCATACCGAGCCATGGGACGGCCATGACCCTTGGCCCTGAATGCACCAAAAGTTGTTTCTCGCTGTTGCTCACCACGCAATCGCTCCCCTTATGGCTGAATCGGTATATTGGCGTGTCTGTTTGTGAGGGTATTCCTTTTGGATATGTTGAAAGGAAACCACCAGGAAGCCGTCGCCACGTTTTTGGGTGGGGGTCCTTTTTGAAAAAAAAACACATTTTTCAGCAGGCTCGGGGGCCCCCCAAACCAATTGAAACGGGTATCTCGATTTCAGGCCCCCCCTCAAAATTCCACCATGCGTATGGGGTTGCGTGGTAGGAGGGGGGGGGGCAGGGTCCAAGGGTAGTTTTGTGCGAACAGGGTACTCCAACCCCCGCCATGCGAAAATCGCCAGGCAATTACTACCCGGTCACCACCGCACTCTTCATTAGGCAAATGCGTGTGGGTAGATGGTCGGGGGTGGCGAGGCCCGCGACACATGCTTGGTACCAGTTTTGGGATTCTAAAGCTCACTTCCTGAGGTCCTGGGCTTTAAATTGGGAAGGCCTTTTTAGCGGTAAATCAAAAGTTTGGACTCTTTTTGAAAATCCACTCTGGAAGTGAGGAAGGCAAGTCTTGCGACCAACCGCCCCATTGTGTTGGTTTTGGCCCGTTTGGAGACAAGCCCACTCGATCGACGGGAGCTACTGAAGGTGCATAACTATCTTAGGGGTCTGACAACCGTGATAAGTAGGTGATATATGCATACATATTATGTATTATATAACCATAAGGCTGTGTCCAGTTACTATACCACTTTTGTAGGCAGGGAAATATCATGTAAGACCTCAAGATAGGTTACATTGGGGTCGTCCGAAAATCCGCAGTCTTCGGTTTTACCTACCGCCGAACGGGGCGCACGTGCGGCCCAAGGCCTGGCTTCACGAAGGGAAGTGATAGTTCTTTGCTTTTCACTGGCACGAGGAAAAACAAAAAAAGGTACAACTTAGCATCTGACACGACCCAATTCCGTGCAACAAACAATGGACACCCCGCACTCCCACATATATATATATATATACACAAAAGAAGAAAAAAAACAAACGACAACCAAATACTGTGTCCATTTGCACACTATAGTAGGTAAGGGGGGGAAACATCATGTAAAACCTCAAGATACTTACAAACTCCGATTTCCCATCATAGACGTGGCCGAAAAAACACTCGGATCAGCTCCTAGCCGCACGCCCCTCTGGCGCCCTCTGGCGCAGGGACGAGGCGGCTCAGCTGACGATGCTTACCGACGTGTCCCAGGCGCCTCGGGTCTCAAGCCGGTTTGGTTAAAGATGGACGGCCCAGGTTTAATTGGATTGTGGTTCTGCCGTTTGATATCCAGGGAAATCAATTTATGTTTCCAAAGGGTCAGCTATGTCCGAAAGGATTTATGGTTTTATGGTAGGCTAAATGTGAAACAGAATCTGCAAGCATAAAATTGTCCTTCTGCCCGGCGTGTGTGCAGAAAAAAAAATCACTTTGGGTAGAAGAGTGGTATTGGGTGCGGTTGCTTTCCCTTGGAATCTCCGGACTCACCTTCTTGCTTGACAGGGCAAGTGCCGGGTGGGGTCCATCTTCATGGCAATCCACGTAGCACATGCCCCAAGTAAATAAAGCGCAGAGCTTACTGTAGATGGTGCTGAGACTCTTCCAAAAATGGACGGTAAGTGTCCTTGTCCCTTTCAGCCAACCTGAGAAATCAGATCCCCCAACATCAAGCACACACACCACACAGTCACACAGTCACACACAAAACAAAAGCAATCAATCAATCAATCAATCAATCAATCAAACAAACAAACAAACAAGCAAGGAAACAAACAAACAAACAAACAAACAAACAAACAAACAAGCAAGCAAGCAAGCAAGCAAGCAAACCAGCAAGCACACATGTTGCAATCCAACGGGTTCACCTCTGCCATCATCAAAACCTCCCCTTATGGGCTTCTCGGCCTTTCCTTTTTCGCCCGAGGCGGGCACTGGCTGTGTGCGCGACGGGGAGATCGAGCTGATGATCCACCGGCGGCTGCTGAAGGAGAAATCCCGGTCGAACCGGGGGCCGAACTCGGAGCCGATGTGAACTTCTCGTACTGTGGGTGGACGAAGTCCATTTCGCACCACCCAAGAAACCCTGGAAGGATGATTCCCCCCGTAAATACCAACAAATAATGACTTCCCATGGATTCAAAGTGGTACAGGATTTTGTCCATCCGCAGTAGTACTTACCTTGGAGGTTCCTTCCAGGCCATCCGGTTCCTCATTGTTTTTAGATCTTTTGAGTTGATTTAGCGGTTGGGTTTGCGAACTTGACCCACTTGTTTTTCACTTTTGGCAGGGGATGTGAGGACAGCCTAGTTTTATGAAGCCTTAACCCCCCCCCCCCTTTACCCCCCCCCCCCTTTTGGGCCAAATAGGTGGGAAGCTTGCGGAAGCATTAGGGAGGCCTTGCGGAAATTGCCTCCTTGCCGGGCCCCGCAGCTTTTCTCGCTCGTTGTAGAGCTGGAGCGTCTCCAGATGCTTGCAACTTGGCAAAAAAAAGACTGGGGGTGGGAGAGGAAGTTTGATCAAAACAGCCAAACTGCAGCTTAGCTGGTGGCCGCCATGTGAGTATGTTCATGCACCAAAAAGCCAGCGAAAAGTTCAAGCTTCAAGCTGTCACTTCTTGCTGACGCATCGCTTGCGTTTTGCAGGCGGTTCAGTAGTAGTTGGCGGCTCTTTGCGGGCCTTGGCCGCTTTGGCAGGCTTTGCGCTCTCAGTCGCAGCTGGCTTTGCCTTTGCCGCCTTTGAAGCTTGACTGCCGCTTGCTTTCGAGCTTGGTGGCTCAATTCTGGGGGAGCTTGGTGGCTCAATTCTGACTCTGGAGGAGCTTGATGGCTCCACAACGTTGGGCATAATATCCCCCGTGCCCATTTCCGCTTCGTTCCGGCTCATTTGTTCGATGGCCCGCTTCAGGATGTCATCCGACGGCCTGAGTAACATGAGGTCTGTTTACGCATGCTGCTGATGGCGTAAACACGTGTGGCGACAGTATCTTGTTGCTACGGTTGGAGAACACGGGTCACGGATGAATCAGGGGGGGCAAGCAAACGAAATGAGAAAACCGCTAACTTATTTCGGCGTATTGAGTCAGGGTTGCCATCAGTACTGAGGGAGGCCGATTGCGCCTTGTGAGTTACTTGCGAGAAAGCCAAGTAGCCGGCTACCCAGAGCGCGCGCCAGCACTGCGAACGTGCCTGCCAAATGAAAGGCGCGCCCGCTCCAGAGCACACACTCCGCACTGATAAGCACACCCGCTCAAGAGCGCACTCTCAGCAACGCGCGCACACCTGCCACATGATAAGCGCGCCCGCTCAGGAACACACGCTGAGCACTGCACGCACACCTGCCAAGTGATAAGCGCATCTGCTCAAGAGCACACTCTCAGCACTGCGCGCGTACCTGCCACACGCTGATAGGCACGCCCGCTCAAGAGCACACGCTCCGCACTGCACACACGCCTGCCAAGTGATAAGCACACCCGCTCAAGAGCACGCACCAAGCACTACGCGCATACCTGCACATGACGATAAGCACGCCCGCTCAAGAGCACACGCTCAGCACTGCGCACACGCCTGCCAAGTGATAAGCACACCCGCTCAAGAGCACGCACCAAGCACTACGCGCATACCTGCACATGATGATAAGCACGCCCGCTCAAGAGCGAACGCTTAGCGCTGCTCACATGCCTCCCACGTGATAAGCACACCCGCTCAAGAGCACACACTCAGCACTGGCACTGCACACGTGCCTGCCAAACGAGAAGCGCACCCGCCTAAGTCAGACAAGCGCCTTTGCTTTTCCGGAAAACTGAATTGGCAACCTTGGCTAATCAACAGCACGGCCTAGGACAATATGAGAGAGTCCACGCTTTCACTGCATAAATTAAACGTTCATGATGAGATCTGTTCCACACAAAGACCGCAATGCTGGGTTCAAAAAACTTGGCAAAATTCGCGACAAGCGATCGCTCAGAAGGTAAAATACGTTTCTTAAACTTGAACTGAGTGGCATGTGTTGGTCCTCGTGATTGGGTCTAGCCTTTCGATGCAGTTTCCAGATATACCCCAGCACCGTCTTCAGCGCTTGAAGCTCTGATAGATTTTCACGGACGCCGCCCCAAGTGCACGACCGGGTCTCCTGCAAGTCCGCACCCTCGATCAAGTGGCTGCCTCAGGTACTAGGGCAATGTGGCCGGCGACGACAGCGATGAGGCCGGTTTGAGGAGGGGGTCTTTTTGTTTAGCCTACAGTACTGAAAAAATAACAAGACAATGTCTTTCCAAGGAATGCCTTTCCAAAGAGCAGGCTGCGGAAAAGGACAAGTCAGACTTAGTTGGCACAAGTCAGAAAAGTAGAAGCGGAAACAAATGCTCATGGCTTAGGGGCATTGGTACACTCCTCGGTATTGGCGGTGTGGCTCTGGCCGTCTCACAAGATACACCCCTGGCAGCTTGTGCTTGCCTGGGAGCACACTGTGAAGCTGCACAGGGGTCACCCGCTTCCATGCTCCTCTGGACATGCCTTCTTCTGAAAAGCTTGGGACTTTGGGCGCGCTCTTCTCCAAAATCTCTGCAGGGGGGACCTCAGAATCTTGTTCTGGCGCCGGCTGCTGCACGTGGCGCTTCTTACGCAGTTTCCGTTGCTCCTTGCAAGCCTTGACCAGCTTCTCAAAGCACTGGGCGTTTTCAGGATCCACATTGCTGACCGCCGTGCACAACTCGTCCGGATTGTCGGGCATTGGCTTTGTCTTGCCCAAGACCTTCTCGACGATTGCCTTCTTCGCAGGCTGGGTCTCAGAATCCCCGAAGACATGCCTGGTTCTAAAAATGAAATTTCCATTTTGTGTGCTAATCACAGTCTTGAACCCAAACATGAAGACATGAGAACTAGAAAGCCCAACCAACCGACCTCAATGGTGAAGTCGTTACCCCTGTTAGGGGCAGCATAAGTCTTTTAGGCCATTGCAGTGTCAGCAAAATAAAATGGTAGAAGTGCGTCAAGTCTCTCCACAAGAGCTGCAACTTTTGCAGCTTTCTTCTCAGTCTTTGCAATGTTCACTTTCAACTGGCCCAAGACTGAGTCAAGCTGTTCCACGTTGAGCTTCACACCTGCCTTCAACGACCCAGCGACAAGCCCAAGTTTTGGGCCTGGGCAAACTTGAAAAACGGAACCGCCGGTTGGAATGGCGTTGGGGACCGCGCATGGGGGCAGCAATCGTGTTTGCACTGGAACCCATGGGCACCCGTCATCGATGCGCGTGTTGAAGGCCCATTTCGGGATTCTTGCTTCCTTGGGCTCCAGCTTGAAGTACTCCAGGTCAGCGCCCAAAGTGTAGTGACGCACAGGCACCATGAGGGCGGCACACTTGAAAAAGCCAAGGGAAAGCGAGTACAGCTTGGAGCGCTTGTTGAAATAGATGACCCCTTTGGCCAGGAACACGCCTTCAAACAGTCGACCCAAGCGGCAAATCAATGAAGCAGGCCGGGTTGCGTTGCAGGCTCTTCTAGTTAGCTCTTGACCTAGCCCTGTTTCGTTGAAGGGAAACCAAAAGGCAACCAGCCGCGAGTCTAAGAATCTAAGAAGGAGGCTCCTGAATTGAATTTAGGCACACCTGCAAATCAAGTTTCATCAGTGTTCAATATCAATATCTAGCAGTTTGACAACAGTGAACGTAGTACCCAAGCCTTGCCATACGTGCGCCGCCCCGTTGAAATCTGAGGGCTTGTCAAACACCAAGTAGGCTGCGACGCTTGCTGCGTGCCTGTTGGCAACAAATGAAGCCGGCTTCCACGACTGCAGGATCTGCGCTGGCTTCGGGATGACGTCCGGGACTGGTGTCCTGCTGCTTAGCTGGTGGCTCAGTGACGTGGCAGCATCAAGGGGTTTGGGCGGTCTGATTTTAAAAGGAGTCCCAGATGGTGCCGCTTTATTTTGCAAGTACACTCCAAGTCCAAGGGAAGGGGTAACAGCCAGCCTGCTGATTCTTATCAGATTATCATCAGCCAACTGCTGTTTCCAAACAGGATGATGGATGGTTGGTTGCGTTACTTGTGGGGAAAACCTTGGCAATGCACTGCCAGGCAGGGAGTGCAGACAAGTAGCCCGCGCACGTTGAAAGGTTGTAGCAACTCCTCCTTGTTGGTCAGCTTGCCCAGGACCAAGTAGTCTGTTGAGACGGTCGTCACTTGGTCCATGCCACCTTGCTTGGTGTGAGGGGACGCGGAAGCATAGAACCACTTCATCGGTGAACTCATGCGATCATTCTTGTTGCTGGCTCGCTGAACATCCCGTAGGCTGGCGAAGCACTTTTCCATGCAGTGCGCTGTCGTTGCAGAGCCTCAGCCAGCATAACACATATGTGCAAAAAAACAGGTGCAACTACAAAGGCTTGAAGCAACAACTGTCACTGCAAAAACATTGCAAAGGATTTTCTACTCGTATGCAGTCTCGAAACCCTGGAACATCAACATGGCAGTCTGTTGCAACTCTCGGGAGTCTGGGTCGTAGTTCTGCTGTTTGGCGCTTGCCATGAGTTCCCTTGGGAACTGCTCCTGCAAGAAAGAGGCGCAATCCAGAAGTGCCTTCAAGGCACCATACTTCACGGGCTGCGCCCTTACGAGTTGCTCGGCCGACAGGCAGGCTTCGGTCAACAGCCTCATATAGTTCATGCCTCGTTGTCTCTCCGCTGGGTCGCTGTGCGCTACGTAGGCCACGCAGTGAGGGAAGCACATTGTAAACATGATTTGTGACCACGCTTCGTTGGACGCGAGGCTCACCGTGAAATCCATGAGCATTTGAGCCACCTCAACGTCTTGCCGCGCCCACGAAACATCCACGTCGAGGGGCGTGCGCATCCGCGGCAAGAGCCCCAAGCGAGTGGCCAGGCCAGAGTCATGGTTTAACTCCAACAGACTGGACACAGTTGTTGTGTACCATTCACCTGCCGTCCGCAGCGCCGCATGCTTGAGGAACCCGGTAGGTCCTTCACACATCAGGTCCAAGCTGTTGACGTAAGCCAGCTGAAGACAACGGCCGCCCGCGCAGACCACTCGTAGTCGCTGTTGCAAGTAACGGTCTTGCAGAAAGGTCCAGCAAAGCTGGGCCGTGTTGTAGCGGGACCGGAGCTGGTTCATCTCTTTCCTGGTCGTCGGCTCTGCCTGCGCTTCCTCCTCATCAGCCTCGTCAGATTCATCATGTTGGTCGCCTTGGCCCTGCTGCAGCGAGCCTGAAAAGTGCATCACCGCTCTGGCAATTTCATACTCCTGTGTCCAAGATTCGACGAGCGTCTCAAAGGCTGATAGACAGCCAAACCAGATTTTATTCTTGACAAAACTCCCCAAATTTTTTCCGGCATTTTGCCAGAATTCCAGCAGCTCTGCCCGAGAGCGATCCGCCAGGTCATCAGGAGCAACTTTGCTCTGGTCGGCCAACATGCTCTCCGCCCGCTCAGCCAGCCACTCATCGTCCACTGTCTCCAGCATGAGGCCAATGGCTTCTTCTCTGATGGAGCGGTTAGCCCCAGACATCCAGGGACCGGTCGCATGGTTGGTGATGACGGTGCCTTTCAAGATTGCGCCGTACAGGCCCACCTCGGTGCAGCTTCGCTTGAAGCTGTTCCACCGAGGGTGGGCCATGTCCGGCTCTATGTAGCCGGCAATAGCCGGGCCTGCGTCACGTCCTTTCCGGGAAAGCCAAAGGAAGTTGAGAGCTTTGGTTTGCGAAGACTCCTCATCGGGAACCTGCAGTGGCACGGTCCCCAAATTGATGCCCAACGAATCACCCAACGAAGATCCGGCGAACGACAATGCCATGATCAA